ACATATATATATACATATATGTATATATATATATATATACATATATATATATACACGTTAAACCTTGCACAATATGTCACACGTCCTCACTTAAGGGGGGACATGGGACCCGATAGTGCAATATGTTAGTATTAGGCCTAAAAACATAATTTTTGGGGGGAATATTCAGCTTTGTACACTGATTGAAAATATGTAATTACATTTTCTTTACATCAATCCAAAAAAAAGCTACAACTATTCTTATTTTATAAATTTGGGATGTGACTTTCATTTAAAGTAATGCATCAAAAGAGCTATAATTGAACCTGTATATTGCTGAATATTCAAATAGTGCAAATATGCAATTTCATGCTAGTATCTAAATTTTACCAACAGTTATGAAGTTTTTATATTGCAGTCTCCTAGCTCTGAATTTTCACTGGTGATTTCTCGAAAATTGCAAAAATTTACAAAGTCCTTAAACATTTTATGAAAGTTTTCTTGCATACATGAATAACCTAGCATTCAAACCAAAAAAAGATAAAAAAATCGAATCAGTATTAGCGACACAGTGCTCATCCCTAAATTCAAAACATGCAAAAATCTGTATTTGAGAAAAACGAAAAAAACTGAAAAAGTTGGGAACATGAAAATTTCGTGCATGAAAGCCACAGCACTTGTATTCGCAATCAATCAGAAAGCCCCAGCGGAGTAGTCTGAAGCAGGCTTTTGCTTGTGCTTCTTTGCGACTGCCTGGAACGCCTCTGAAGATGCACGTTTTCTCTCCGAGCCGACAGCCCGGCGAAAGTCTTTCTCAACCGCCCGCTGGTTACCTGCGCATGTTTAATCTAGGTGCATTTCACACAAAATAAGTGAACTAGATTTCTTGTTCCCTATTTTGAAATGCATAAGAGCATCTGCCATGGCAGTCTCAACGGCAAACAATGACGCGTTTTTGTCCTTCGGTGAGAGGCTCCAAATGACCGAATGCAAGGCCTCATTCGCATTCTGCGTCTTCCCCCTGGTGCATCTCTGCAGGAGCTTCTTGTTGGACAAGCGTTCATAAACAGGATGCAGTGCATTGCTCACAGCCTCTGGCAAATTGTACTTGCTTTTTGGGATGGGCTCATTCCTTACCATGGCTGCATTATGCTTGCACCTAGACTCGGGGCCGCGTGGACAGAAATTGTGGTGTAATTTCTCGTCAGTGGATGTCACATGATGATACATAGCCCACACAGCCTTGTGCATCTCATTCACATTCCCAGAATGGAATTTCAAAGCCCAGCCGTAATAACTCGTCAATTTTGTGATGAGGTCACCCGTGAGGTGGCCCTTGCCACTGATGCGCTCGTTGCTGTCCCCTTGGTGCTTCTGCACAAGGTTCCGAAGCGCAGTTCCCATGCGCTTCTGCACATGGTTTGAGCAGTCTTCTTTTTTAACATTTATGAAGCCGTACACCTTAGCTTCTTTGACAGCACTGTACGACCGGCTGTCACCATCAAAAAGCATGGTGGTGTACCTGAGGCCATAAAGCGAAAGGGACCGCTGAAATAAAATCATTGCTGCTTCTACTTCCATTTAGCCAGCCTTGCATGAGGTATTTTTCTGGCATGAATGTTTGGCTTTCCATTCAGAGTATTCCGGGTTCTCGGGTTTCGGACCACATTCACAGCCGAGGCAAAAATTAGAAAGCACAACATAGTCTAGCAGATAACCTGAAAAAACTTCTATCACGGTAGCTATTCCAATGAGAAAGGTGTGTCCTCTAGTGTGCCAGCTTCCATCAAAAGAGACGGCAATATTTCCGGGGTGGCCGAAATTTAGGCTCTTGTAGAGGCACTTTACCACTGTGGCACACTTATTCAAACGTTCAGCACAAGCTCTCGTTGCTGCTAACTGAAGCTTCATTTTCAAGTACTCTCGGTATGTTTTCGTGTGAAGGCCCCGATGTTAAACACCGTTAGCAGCAAAGATGTCATTCATAGCTGTCTGACAATTCCCAGTGCTCTGAACCGCACGCGCAGTGCAAACGTTGATTTCGAACGGGTTGCAGTTACTGCTGCCACCACCCCGCCGTGAGCTCCATTTCGAACCAACTTCTCCGCAGTGAAGTTTCAGCTTAACGGCTACACCGTACTCACGTGCGTCGCAGTCGATGGTCAACTGACCACAGCACACTCGGCAAGCAGAATGTTCGTTTGGTAAACTGTTCACCATGTCGATGTCAACCGTAATATATGTCGGGGTCGGCGAACTTTCGGTGCCGTGCTGACTCACGAGAACACTGATTTTGCGATCGGTTGCCGAGACAGAAGAAAGTTTCACTGCTTTTTGCTGGGCGCGACGCTAAATGAGTTCTCAGTCAGCCGATGTCAAAAATGTCGTGTCTATCCTCGCAGCTCGATCGCGCATACTTGAAGTACTGCAGACAGCGGTCGCAGTCACCGCCACGCTTTCTCCGGCTGCGAGATCTGTTGCAGCAGCATTCTCTGCTGTCTTAATCACAAGCAGTGGCGTTGTTTCCTGGCGTCTTGTTGAAGGATCACCGCAATCAGCTGATTCCGACGCCTCGCAATCGCTTGTGTAGCAACGCCGCTTCGTCGCAGAATCCGTTGCGCTCTTCCGCCGAGATCTGCAGATATCGTTGTCGGCAGTTGGGATGATTTATGGCATTCTGAGCGCGTGTCGCCACTGGTAGAAATCGTAGCGATCGAAGGCTGCCTTTGTGTCAGGCTGCTGCATCGCGGCGACTGCCGGTCTTCTGTCCCTCTCGGCTCTGCCGAGGTAGCCTGCGCTGGCTGCGATGACTTCTTGGGCTGCCCAGCACATTTTTTCCGTCGCTTGCCGAATTTGTGAAGTGTGCGGAATTTTCGAGCACGGTTTGGTATCTCGATTTTGATCGCAAAACTCCAAAACTTCCGAAATGGTGGTGACAACGGGCGTGTTTGTGGCCGCACGTGCATGATCACCTAAGTTGTCAGTCCCCGCGCTCCAATCACAAGCCGCTGTTCACTCACGTGACTGCTATGAACCAATGATACCGTACCGTTTTGTCGCTTGTTTTTGCCTGATAACGCAGACTGGCTGCAGCATTGAAGGTTCATTCCTGGCGGGAAAGCGAGCTCAACATAAGCCCTTTCAAACGAGACTAAGATGGCCGCGATGCGATGAGTGGTTGGCGCGATCCGAGCAACGCAAAAGGGGGCTGTTTGCGGCGATTTCGTAAGCGAAACCAAGTGCTGGGATGAATAAACGCGACATTTTTTGGCTCAACGACGTGTCATTATGAGTTCATTTTTTGCTGGCAGGTGCGGGATGATATGAAGAGAACGAAAATCACCAAAATGAAAAATCGATTTTTTTTGGCTTTTTTGGCGTTTTTTTTTCGTCGCCAAGACCCATGTCCCCCCTTAAAGGGACACTAAAGTCAAATAACAATTTACATCAGACTGAAAGCTGAATGTATGGCAACATCTAGAACGACAATATTATCAACAGCAGTGCCCTACTTACCGAGAAATTCAGCTACCAAATACACAAGAATACATGTGCCACAGTACGACATTCTCAAAATTATCCGATGATGTCAGACGAACCGCCCATAATTTATCACTAGTAATCGATCGAGCTGCACTAAATAAAGAACCTTCGGTGCATCAAGAGACGCAATAAAATGCTGCTTGTTCGTTTTTGTTTCATTAAGGGAAAAAAATAACCGCCGGATGTTACTATGGGGAACGGCACAAGTGGTTTGAAAATTCAATTTTCGCGTAGTAAAACTGGAATGATGGTGCCATCTAGCGGGGCCCAGTTGAGCGATAACATGTCTGCCATCTCTGAGCCAATGGCAGAAAATTGATCAATAGCCGTTGTTGCTGCTGTGGCTCCCGCAGCTTTCGTTCTGCTTCTACTGGTATTGGCGGCCACACAGTAAAGCCGAGCAACATTGTGCACGGCAATTAACAGTGATGTGAGTCAGTCCGCTTTCAGAGGCAGGTGATTTGAAGTGCGCTAGCTTGATACGGGCCACTGAATGCGATCTCATTTAAAAATAAGCCTTTCCTTGGCACAAAAGTAACACTACGAGGTTTCTAGACCACTATTTCAACAATTAACGTCGACTTAATAGCTGTCTTCAGTGTCCCTTTAAGATGCTGCAATGCTGCGACAGACTGTTGCTGCTTCCACCTCCTAGATGCTCAGAACAGAACTGCTTGGCACAAGCCAGTGTTGCTGCCAATCACCTCTGATCTTTCAGACATCCACTTTGTGCAAGAAAAAGTGTTCAGACAAAGAATACTATGCGAGGAGGTATATAAAAAAAGATTAAAGCCTGGAGTTTTTGTTAGCCAAAAGCATGAGCAGGTATGCCTAGGGCAGACAGGAATTTGGAATGTACATTAATGAACGAAAACAAGAGAACTGTGCAGCCATCAATGTGCAAGCCGTAAGAGGGGAATGTGGTTATTGTCGCTAATGCCTATGCCTTCTAGCATTGACAGACATGCACACTCTACACACTACTAAGTGATAAAGACAGGACAAATTTACAACACCTTGATGGGGCACATTATGACCTATATATTACTCGCCTGTCGTCGGCCTGTCTCTCGTCCCTCCTTTCACCAACATTGCATGTCCATTATACAATGAACCTTTTCGACAAGACCTAGCTCCCTTGCCACCACATGCTGTGATGAGCTACGCATATCCATCCTGCTGGATGAAAACCACGTGCTCCGATAGCACTTTGTGGGTGGCATGGCTGACAACTGCCCCCAAGAGAGACGCAATGCCTGTGCACTCTTTCAATAGGAGAGACGAGACAGGGGAGAGGAAGATGTGAGGGGAACAAGATAGGAAAATGAAGGGGGAAAAATGATGAAGGCTTAGTCAAAAAGTAAGTTAAAGACATGAAAAAAAATTGATCCACAATTCAATCATTCACAATTCATGGCAAGAGCTATGAATTGTGAATCGCTTCGATAGATAGCATATGTGTGAAACACTTCACTCACATTCACGTGCTTCTTCTGAATTTCCTCGATGGTCTTCAGGTTTCTGTTCTCAAGCTCTCTGCTTAGCAGGTAAAGGCTTTTCTGCATGTTTGTATAATCACAGATCAGTAACCAGTGAGCACTCACAAACTTTGGCATGAAACAATTTCTAAGAGCACCAAAGTCCTGACTCCAGCAATACTGAGCAGCAAGAGAAATAAATCCCTCAGCCCATCTTGCAAAATGAGAAAGCAGAGACGGGTGGCTCACACAGAAGTGAAACTTTCACGGACAATCCACCATTCAGCCACTTTTCAATATGAAAAGCTGCTGAGAAAAAGAAAATGCCAGGCCTGCACAGAAGGCACAGCACAGTAACAGCTAAAACGGGAAGAGTGGCTTTTTTTAAATGTTTTTTAACACTCTTGGGGAAACTATTACAGGTAGACTTGCATGACACCCACTACGCCATAAAACCATTTTTTTTTGTAGTGGGAAAGCATCCACTCATCCTTCATTCTTTGGAAAAGCCTGGCACCCGCTACAAATTTGTATGACGTACAGTTTGTTGAACGACGACGATGAAGAATTATGCCCGAAGCTTTTGTAATGGGTTGGAGCATTCAACAACCCACTCGTTACATAACACGCATTGGGTGACGTCTAGTTGTTACTTTACTAAACTAAGACACTTTATTACACATGTTATTGCTATTCCTTAAGCGACATAAAGACTGCACAAAGTCCGTTTGCAACAAAGTCAAGCACTGGCATAGGTTAGTAATAGAGTGCTGGACAGAGTGACCAAGTTCAATTCGGCCTTCAGCGTTTTTCATTTATTTTGCATTTTATACTTCACACAACAGTGCTTAAAGAGAGCAGCAGCGGCGGTCAACTACAGCACCAGAATTGGCTGTAGTGATCTTATGAGCACTCTCGCTGTAATAAACATGTGTTGATGTACACTTTCAAAATTCCAATCTCCTCATATTTCTCCCAAGAGATAATATCTAGCATGAAATATCTAGCTTCGGGCTTTAGAAATGTTTTTGGCACATGATGTTAGCAAAAGTACAGCAGAGATCTGTCCACAAAAAAGCGATTACTGGGGCATCACGTCTATAGCCTAGCTTGCACCTACGTATGGCTGCCTCCGTGCCCTTATTCTGGAGGTAGACAAGCAAAGCCAATTTATATAAAACGAAACCGCATTGCTGTACCAATGGGGTGGTAGCATCACACTCAATTTCAGTGCACTCACCTTCAAAAACACACGGTCACATGGCTCAGTCACTCAGTATTTCAAATTATAGCAAAACTAAAAGAGCACAACCTAAGTCTGCCCAAAATGCAATGAACCAAAATGTTTCAATGAATGAACGCAGTGCTCACAGTTATTGCAATAAGGACTGGCAACGAGGGTTCTTTCGATAAGCCACTCGAAAGCAGCGCCATTTTTTCTACTAGTGACAACTGAACATTTATTTGCACTATGTAAATTACCTGAGAAACTATGAAAGAAAATTTTAACTTAGAACAGTGTTTGTACAGGTTTTCGACGTGAAAACTTCAAGGATATTCAAGCATTTTCTAGGACCTCTTGTAGGTTTTTCACGGTCTCAAAGAGGCATGCAAACTTGGAATTTTTTCGTCTAAAATGTTGAAATTTGGCTAGTTTTATCCTAATTATGTAAATGGACTTCATAATTTAAATGGACATCACAATTATAAAAAAAAATTTAGTAGTCTTTGATATGTTCTCAAGAGCCTAACACGCACTGAATGTTTACAATAGTGGTTGAGTTTATAAGGATTAGAGATAGCATTCGTTGCTATGCCACACCGACAGACAGACTGATTTTTTTCCCCCCAAAATGACCATGTGCGCTCGTGGTAAGTTACTGTTCATGAGCTGGGGAGTTAGTCAGATCGACAGAAATCTACCACACTAAGGAGGTTGAAATGCTAACCTGGGAGTGCACTGCTCGAAAAATTCAAAAATTTTCAAGGGCTTTGAAAAGCAGTTTTTCTAATTCAAAGGTTTCAGGGATTTCAAGGACCTGTACACACCCTGTTAGAAGAACGACATCCACACATGCCTTGTTCCAATGAAAAGGTATATCTACATATTGTACAGATTATGTTGTACAAATACGTTCATTTCTGTTTATACGAAATATATTATTGGCCGAATCGCTCTTTGCTTCGAACTTAAAGCTCACTATTCTCACATCCCTAGGCCTGTTATGCAAAATCACATCTGGGGTTTTATGGCCCAAAACCACGATATGATAGTGAGAGATGCCGTGGTCGAGGGCTCTTGGAAACTTCTACCATCTGGTGTTTTTTGACGTGCACTGACACACCATAGCACACTGGCCTCGAACATTTCACCTCCATCGAAATGCGACCACCATAAACGGGATCGAACCCGCGACCTCTGAATTAGCAGCCGAATACAGCACTCGCGATAATTCAAACTTTCGGTTAATTCAAATAAAATTTAATTTTTGGTTGGCCCTGTAATCTTAATTTTTCAATGCATTTAAAGGCCTCTTAATTCAAACTCCGCCACTCGGTTGATTAATTCCTTTTGCGGTTCCATACCACAAAATATCTGCTGCTTTCCCACTACTAAAATTTGCATGCTTATATAATCCTAACAGTCTAAAAATGAAAAATAAGCACCTCAGGCCTTGAAGACCTGAGGTGGTTGTAAACATATGTTTGAAACGAAGCACACTCATGGTAAACCGTGATGCTTCTCAACTGGTATAAAGAGCTTTGTGCTGAAGGCACATATAGCAAAGAAGCAGTTAGCAATTCAAGATTTCTTTAAAAGGTGTGATCAACAATAAATGGCCGATAAACTTGTGGACCTTACACCTCTGCTTTCTGTTCATTTCATGCGGTTAGGTTTTGCAATCGCTTGAAAAATTTTTAAATCTGATAATATCAATGCCTAATCATAACATGTGATGTCACTTCACCCACAGTCATGCTGCATCTGAAAACTTATAATTCAAACAAAAATTCAGATGTCCCTTCGAGTTCGAATTAACGAGAGTCGACTGCATTAGTTAAAATCAAACCTCTGGATTGATAAACGCGATGCAAGAGAATTTATTGACTAGTAGCATTATAGGAGAGCTGAATTGTTTCAACATCTCGATACCTTTCAGTGCACACTCATACCACCATATAATGAAGCCGGACATAATGGAATATCGGTTATAATGAAGTAAATAAAAAACAGTCTTGCAATGAATATAATGTTGGAACTATACCCGTATAACAAATTTTCGGATATAAAGAACTTATTTTCAAGCAGGGTACAACTTTATTTTATGAGGCTTCTACGTTGTTCAATTTTCTAAATAAAAACAATTTAACTTTAGATAACGTCACCTCCGCAGAAAATCAAGAACATTTCAAAGTTAAACCAAATGAAGCATGCTTAGCTACGATTTCAATACACAAGTTTCACTGAGGCAATGAGTGGAGACTATGGAAGATGCCCGGGGTAAAATGTCTGAATTACGTACACATGATATTACATCCGACACAAAAATAAGTTCGTTATATCCGACAATTCGTCATAAAGATGTTTGTAACACCACAGCCATTGCAAGACTGTGTTGTTTACTTCGTAATAACCAACATTTCATTATACCCGGGTTCGTTATATTGAGGTTGGAGTGTACACGCACCACACGACTGAGCCGCGATCGAGTGATTATGGGGGACGGCGTAGGTAAGGCTCCAATAATTTCGACCTCGGGTTTTTTTTTTTGTTTTTGTTTTTTGTTAACGTGCATCAAATCTAACCTAAGCTCACAGACCTCAAGCATTTTGGCCACCGAGGCCGGCATTCAACCCTGCGCGACTTGCGGGTCAGCATCCGAGTGCCTTAGCCACTAGACCACCGTGGCGGCTTACAATAGCATTAATGGGCCGACGCAACAGCCGTTTGTTAAGTTACAGAAAATGACTTATGAGCATGGCCGGTGGCGGCGGCCCGCAATTGCACACACATCTTTGCGTAAAAGTTGGCGCGCCCGTGCCTGTGCGCCCCAGCGAAGGAACAGAGCAAGCTCTCTGCCGGAGAACAACAGACGTTATTGTCACGCACCTTCGAAGTTTGCCGCCAGGATAATATAACGCGCTGCATAAGCCTTTAACTGTAACTTGGAAAGATGGAAATCACCTGTAGTTCGTTATAAGTTGTGTTGTGGAACGACAAGTTTTCGCCATCGGCCTTTGCTCACAGTTGATAGCAAGCTGGCAATGGCTTCCGTCACTAGCTCACTGCTTCTCAAAGATCTCTACAATGGGTCCTTCGAAGGAACAACAGGCGTTCACTGAAGTTACTTTACTTTTGCCTGTTAGGAGTTTAAATTCTCATTGTCATATGACGAATTAAAAAAAAATTATTTGACATGCAGTAAATGATCCAGCTCTAGCAATTTTCTTGAGCAGTTGACTGTTCACAAGCTACTTTTACCCCCGAAATATACATGTGCCCATCATAGGGAACATTTTGACAACTATAAATATTACTAATGCATGCTGCGAAAACGTGAAATTTCAAGACATAAAAAGCACGCATTTCAAGGGAATCGAAGTATCAGCTGAAGAGACTGCACTTACAATGTCTTCCTTCAACTCTTTCTTCAGCTGTTTCTGTTGGTGGAGACTCTGCCTCTGGTGCTCTATCTGATCGTGAATCCCATCCCTGAGTAACAGCATTACTTCTTTAAAACAAGGCTTCTCAAATGTCCACTCTGCACTCGGCCTCTTTGGTCTGCAAGAGATGTGAATCCTCTATGTTATGAGCCCAGTTGCCAAATAAAGCAAGTAGGAAATCATATAGGAAAGCATGAGGAAATAGGGAAACATATTCCTCCGTTTGTTACAACCAGATGAAGCCAACAGACAATGAGGCCAGAGAAAAACATGCGGGACATGAACAGCCCTTTTCAATTGCAGATGAAAGCCAGAAAGAAAAGCAGGAACTTAGGTTTACTAGGCGTGTTCGCCACCAACTTGAAACGAGAAGTGGCACAGCGGTCAGTGCATCAGGCTTCCGCGCTGGAAAGTTGTGGAGTCAAAGACTTGGATTCACCGGTCAGGCATCCGAGTTAAAGAAATTCAAAGAAAAAAAGAAAGCATGTGAGCTTCCTATGAGTGTTCTTTAACGTAGCACGGAAATTTTGTGCGTCGATTCTAGATGGATCCCAGCATAAAACACTTGAATGCACGCACAAAATGAAGCTTTGCTCTGCAACTGTCGTTGCCAGGGTGTGGTTGAGTCTTGCGAACACGTGTTGTGATGGCTTGGTGATTAGGATGCTTCGCTACACTCAAACCTCGTTATACCGTAACGGGATGTAACAAAATAATGGATATAACAAAGTAAATGAAATTCACCTTGAAAGCTCCATTGAGAACCATGCATTTTAAACTTCGTTTTAACGAAGTAAATGTGACCGGTAAATGAACATAACAAACTAAATTAGTCTATCAAATAGTCTATAAAAAAAAACGACCGTAGTGCGTTGAGTATACCGTTTTTTGCGGAGTTTGACGCTCGTTTGGCACAACTCTTTCAAAACGCCGACCTTACAGCCACGCCCCGCGCGGCCGAGAGAGCCGTTCTTCTAGCACAGCCAGCGGAGAGGATTGAGGAAGCGCTCAGTGGGTCACATGATTGAGAAGCGGCACCGCGGTGCAAAGCAATTCCTCTCTCACGACGGCAATGAATGCGTCTCCGCTGCTACATGGTTGCTACCCTCTGCACCGAGAAAAAAGAACTCTCCGCGACAGCCTTTTTTTTTTTCCTCTCTCTCCACACGCGGGCCTTGAAAGGAGAAGGGTTTTTATGTGCAGAGACGGAAAAGAGAGAACCGTAGCACAGGCGCGTCGCATGTCGGCATTTGAGAGAAAGCAAACAATCCGCCACAGTCTTTTCTTCCCTTTTCTTCTTTTCCTTCTTCGCGCGCAGTGTTGAGAGGTGCCGCTGCGGGATTGGGCATGGCGCTGAGAGCATTTTCGGAGCGCGGTATGTTCGAATTAACCATCACAAGTGCTTGCGCGTACAAACTACAGGGCGTTTTCGCTCATTGCAATACACATGACGCTTTGACGGGACCTCAGCATGAGCTCGAATTACTCGAAAGTTCGAATTAATGAGATTCGACCGAGATTATTTTGCGCGACACGCGTGGTCGCGTCGCGGTACATCAAACCGCGAGGCGGTCTCCTTCTTTGCATGCTTATAGGTGTGCAGCCGTCTGAGCATACATTACCACAAACTGTTATAATCGATATAATGAAGTAATGGATATAACGAAATAATTGTGGCTCTTCTTCAACTTCGTTATAACGAGGTTTGGGTGTACATACTGAGCCAGGAGACAAGAATCTCTGTGCCAGGTGCTGAATTTCGACGGAGGCGGTACGCAAGGATGCCTGTGTGTTGCGTAACATCAATCGACATCAAGAAACCCTGTGCAGACAAAATTAACCACTGTCCTCTCCTACGTTGTCACAGGCAAATGGTTTTGTAGTGTTGAGCACCATGAATCAATGCTCAGAAGTTTGCAGTGCAGCAATGCCATTTAAATGAACTCACTGCTGCAAAGAGTGACCACTTGGTAGTAGCGCACGGAAACTTCCCAGCCCGCTGCAGTGAGTGAAGTGCGCTTTCATGCAACGCCAATGCAGTAGGCTTTCATGGAACACAATAGCGATGTGCTCAAACACTACATGCGCTCAAGAGCGTTTCACAGCAGAGCAAGCCCAGCACGCTCTTTCCGTTTGGGAGGCCACGAAGCGCCCCCTTCAAGCCTCCGTGCGTCGTGCCACTTCGCTTCGAATCGCAGTCACGCTGCACGTGCTGGTGCTAAACAGAGTGGCCACAGAGCACAGAGAGTGGCCAAAGTGCACAGGTTGGCGGCGTTTTCTGACCACGATGAAGTGTTGCAGGGGCCGTTTAAGGAGCATGAAATTGCGTGCACAAGTGTTCTGCATTTCTTTTTCCCACGAAAATGACACCGTCGTGGTAGGAATTGAACCTGTGACCCCAAGTCTGGCAGTGCATCCTCCTCTGGCAGTACATTATTAAATATATGTGGTATCACTCGTACAGTTACCACTGATTCACTAACATGCGCATCCACATACATATTTTTTACTTCATTTTCAGAAAACCATTTTCTGAGAAAATCTCTAGACGTATAATTCGGCTGCTGCATAATCACGACCTGTTCTGCTACTAGTCTGTGCAGTTGAACACAAAAAAGACATTAGCAGCGATGGAAGAGATGAACTTTTGGAGCAGATTCTGGAGCAGAAAAAATGCTAGCTTGGAGCAGGTATTAATGTTTTCAGAGCAGATGGCAAAATATTCCAAACAACTCCTTTGAGTTTATTATATTACTTGAGCCTCTTATAAATAACATTAGTACATATTAAACATATTGCAGATACAATAATTGCATCAAATTATAAGAAACATTTAGCAGATGGATGCTCACTGGACTCGAAGTAAAATGAGAAACATATTTAAAATACCAGCGGGCGTGGCATAAATTATATAAAAGCATCAAAGCTGAGCACCAAACTACAAAAGTACCCACAATAACATGTAATTATTGTCAAAGAGGAGCTTATAAGCGGTACAAGATCGAAGCAATAAATTATTTTAACATTTTGCCAAAACAGCCAGCATTGAAATTTTCAGAAATGAAAAGCTAGATGAACTACTCACTTGAAATGCTCATTCATGTGATATAAACAAGGTCAAAGCTGACAAAGTGCTAAACAATAAATCAATAAATCACACATCAAAGTCATCACAGCAGTTAGCGATCGTTATGATATCAAACTAACCTCACATGTCACCATAATAGTCTACTTGTAAGGTACAAATATATATATAGATGATACCGGTACATGCAGCATTGTCGATGTGCTGGTAGTGTACAGCATGCACACCAGCTGCATATTTACTAACAAGTATTACGCATTGGAGCAGCACTTTTGTTACCGCATTAGCAATGGCATTATGAGTAGGATTGTGCAAATAGTGAATTTTAGCTTCGAATCGCATTCAAAGCAAATAGTGATTTTGGCCGTACAATTTCGAATCGAATTCGACTAGAATATATGTTGTGCAAAAAACTAACCTGCACCATATATATATTTTTCATTAAGATCTCTATGCAAGAGCTTTATTTTTTTACATTCAAAAAAAGTTTAAACAACTTTGAAAAGTAGCACGATTTGACTTTCAATAGGATCCAAGTGATAACCTGTAAAATACGTAATATTATTCATTACAGCTAGAGTGTATAAGCCAGGAAAACAAGCTTTTAGGATTAGAAAATGATCAATCGAATTAAGGATAATATTGAGGGGAGAAGCGGCAGTGACCGACGCATACGATGGTAGCGGCAACGTCATGTTTATTTAAAAGAATCCTGCAACAGTTTTTCAAGTTGCCATGGAATGTATTCACCAAAGAAGATTATTAACTTATGAATTAACCACTGCAAAAATTTTTCGAATTTGCCCAGTGTGAGCAGAGGCACAAAGATTAGCTACATGCTGCAATTGCATTCTCTCTTCTCGTCCCGACGAAAGTGCTAGAAGCAAAGCAGCAAGGAATAGCATAGGGAAGGAAAATACGTCACTTGCGTGCTGTGACTCTGAGCACTCTTTCTCTCTCTCTTCTCTTTTTTACTTTGAATTCACGAATTTTCAGTGCGATCATGCATGTACGTAGGGACATGTCGCGGCCACACGCAGCGGCTCCAGTAACGATTGAGCGCCCCATGCTCAAATCAGCCGATAGCTGCCACAATCGCTGTGACGAGCATTTTTTGACACTGTGGCACCATTTGCCGAGAGAATAGAGCAATTTTTATCTGGCGTTGAGAATCTATTGTGCACTTCAGGTCACGTCCTGCGCCATAATATCTAGCTCGCGTGTTCTTCGTAGCCTCGACTACCGATCGACAGCGTTTGCTGACCATGCTCAAAAAGTGTTGCAGGGCCCCTTTTAAATTTGAAGTAGGGCTTCGCGGCAAAGCAAATTTCTCTTAAATAGGTGTTTTCACGGCTTATCCCTGCTATACTGCAGTGAAGCCACCTTTACAAGCAGTTACATGCAGTTTAGCACACATTTATTCGTTCATGTCGAATACTTTGAAATGTTCAATCATTTAAATTCGAATCGAAGCGAATTCGAATACTCTACTATTCGTTCGAATATTCGAAGCATTCGAATATTCGCACAAGCTTAATTATGAGGCACTGAACAGGAGTTAAACGTTTCCTCACCTTGCTTTTGCATCTGCATTTGCGCTGCAGGAACTCTGAAGTGTTTCGACAAGTTTCATCCAGTACTGCAGAGATGAATGCATCGACACTTCAAGCAAATGAAAAACTGAACGTGAAAATTTTTGGAAACAAATGACAGCGATACAGGACAAATTACGGGAAACTTTGAGACAAACTAGTCTACTACAGAAGTCAAATGCGATATTGCTGCATAGTGTGTGAGCATGAATCCCTAACAAATACTTGGAAAATGTGGCAGAAGTCCAAAATACTTGTAAACGTGTACAATACATAGACATAAGAAAATTTCGTTGCGTACACTGTTGACACGTGGCACCTTTGTCTGAACTTGCGGCAACAAGTTGCAGTAGAAGAAAGCTTTTTTTTTTTCATTTCTTATTTGTATTCCATATCTTAAAGCCATTTTTTTTTTCTTTAAACACGACGAGTACGTTGTAACACACCTGGCAGTGCACCACATATTTAACATGGCAGTTGAGCATTTGTATCACACTAGCAGCATGTTTTTTTTAAACTTTATTTCTCTTTACCATTGCTTCAAATCAAATATTTACCGATAACTTCCCTCTATGCTTTCCTTTCCTTCACTATCTGTTTGATTGTTACAGTCAGAACAATAAGCTATATACAAGTTGTGCAAGATTGATGGAAGAGATACTTCTTCGCTATTATGGTGTTACTTCTAATAGCAGAAATGAAAACCTAAGAGAAAGGGATACACAAGGCATTATACATGTACTAGTACTACCCATATAAGAACAACAATAGGTAAATTTGCAACAACGTAATTACACCACACACTGAAAAAATAAGCAGTTTTTTTTAAGGCAAGACTCAAAGAAAGCTAAATTTAAAACAAAGTACCACAAGCTTATTATTTTCACTTAACAGCTTCAATGGTTCTCATATGCGACTAACATTGTGCAACTAACAGTGTGACCAACAACAAATGTTTAACAAACTGTGAAACACTTGATAACACACCTAGAAGATTGATTCAACTTATATCAGCCAAACTGGACACTCACTTTAGTGCACTGTTCCACGGGATTTTCCGATTTCATATTGCCGCCTTTCTTGTTCTTCCGAAACACTTTCCTGAAAACAGTGAACACAGGAATGACCTCTTTATAGATATTGATTGCTATTTCATAATTATCAGGTTTATATAGAAGTTGAACTGTATTACAGACATTGACAAGAGAGAGAAAAAACTTTTCACACGATAGAGTTGAAAAGCTCGTGTCGTAGAAATACAGATGTCGGTGTCGTTGGTTGAGAGCAAGAAATCATCTTTGCGTGACCGAAAAATTGAGAAAGATGCAAATAAAATAAATAAGACATTCTGAGTCTGAGTGGGGATTGATACCGGGTCGTTTGCGTGCCAAGCGGGTGTTCTGCCACGCATCCACGCCTCTGCTTGTGAATACAGCCAGAAGTTAAAAAAACCTTCATGCTTTACAGACACATGTGTCCTGTATACGTGCTAAACATGAAATGTTGCCGTAATAATGCGTGGTACAAACGTGCATTGTCATCCGGCATCAGAACATGGGATTATCACAATGATTTCATAGTTTAAAGCCAGTTACTCACAACAAAAGGCACACATGCTACTACAGCCTTACTGCCACGTAGAGGAGGGTGCATAGCAAGTTGGAGATTTCATACACCGAGTGTTTGAAGTACGCACTAGGAACAGATTGTCCCAACGGCGTTCAACTAGTAATGGAAAAGCTTAAGGACTCCCTCCCCCCTTCCCCCTTTAAAGTTTCATGTACCTGCATGGCTTTGTGGTATATTACTGGGCTGCCACGGAGAGAGCCCAGGTTCGAACCCTGTTCTTTCCAGGCTATTTTTTCTTACTCATTTTTAAAAATTTCCGGAAACTAGTGGTGGCAGACTACTATGACACCAAAAAAGGGTTGCGATTTCGTACAGCTATCGCTGTGAAAGTAGGAACTAGAATGATGCTTACCGAAATTCTGCAAAGTCCCTATGAAACTGGTCTACAGCATTCTCGAGTGCAATAAGGGTTTCGTCCTGGAATATAGCACAGCATGCCAACTTTCAAGTGTCAGGTCACACGAACTACAGCAACAGGCAAGACTGTATTAGTGCCCACAAAACTGCCCCAACAGTAGCTGTACTAAAGCGTGTTCATAGAAATGCTTTCCTTAATTTTTATTTTTCTGCTTTCCGCTATGCTGTGAACAATCATGGCAGGCAACTTCGATTGCTTGAACAAGCAAGTAATCATTTAGTGCAACGAGGTTCAGTTGATGTGGTAACCCTTTATCTTAAAAAAAAAAAAAAAGAAAACACCTTGAACAGAAGGAGCAAAATGAAAACACAGACAACGGTTTATACCCTAATCTGTTTCTGTTCTGCCATCTAAGTAATAATAGACCGCAACAAGGTTTGATGTGATGACCCTTTATCTCTCTTAAAAAAAGAAAGAAAGCAGCAAAATAACACAAAATACATACCCTTTATGCCTGTTTGGAATGTTTTTTTTTTTTAAGACAGGGAGGATTCTACTGTGATTTGTAAGTAAATCATTTTTCGTACCTTAATTACTGCACAAGCAAATGCCATTATTTTCAGGGTAATACGTTTCTACTATATCACTATGAATAAATTGCCCCAGCTATTCTGAACTCTTCATCTTAAGACAAGTAAAAACAAATGAATGGTAATATACAAACCTAAGCTACATTATTAGTTAACTGTGTTTTTTTTAATGAAGAAATGCACACACACAAAAAAACACAGGACAAGTGTTTGTCCCTGTGTTCCTTTATGTTTCTTTATGCGCTAAAACCACAGTTATACCATGCATAACCAACCAAGCCATGTTTAAATTCTGTCAGCTAATTAAAATGGCAAAATAGGTTACGAATGGTATACACTTGAACTTCATTGGAAAAAAGTTGCAACTTATGCAAAAGTAAGTTTGTTATATCCAAAAACTCGTTATAAAAATATATTCTTAACACTATATCTATTGCAAGACTATTTTTCATACTATACTTTGTTATAACCGACATTTCGTTATATCGAGATATGAGTTTCCACTAAGTACATGAAGCCGCAACAGTAGTGTAGTTCTTATCCTTCACAAGATTACTGGATTGTCGCGCTATGGGCCCTCGTGATGAAAGTTTGATTGAATCCATGAGTGATATTTCAAACAGATGTGTCTACTGTCATCATACCGTAAAATAGTAAATGATGATGATGATGTGTGGCACTTTATGGCGCAAGGACCAATTGATGGCCAAAGAGCGCCATTTCGATAGACAAGAGATATGAACAATGATATTGTAAATGATGAGTGGCTGTAGAGGGGTCTTAAAATTCCTCGCGCTAATGCGGGTGAAAACTCAAGTATTAAAAACATGACAGTGGCATGAAATATGTGCAGTGAGAGTGATTGTCAAAAGGTCATGATAATAAGACTATGGCAGAGATGTAGTCGCCACAGGTCCTGCTACAGATCACCTTGAAATATGCAGTGAAAACTGCATACATCATTTAAAAACGTAAACAATGAGTGAATTTTAAAAATCGGATCCCTGCCGATAAGCATCCCAGGGTGTAGTGGGAGCTGCTGTCGGTAGGGCAGTAAAAAGTGCTTTTTCCTTAGAGCGTCCAACTCATTACACTGGACGAGGATGTGGAAAACCGTAAGTAGTTCTCCACATCTCACACACAATGGTGGATCACTGGCAGACAGAATATATGAATAGGTAGAGTATGTATGCCCTGTTCTTAGCCTTGTGAGTGTCACTTCTGTATGTCGCGATTTTGATAGGGGTGGCCAATGACCAAGTTGTGGCTTAATAACATGTAGTCTATTACTTTTGTGTCTATCCCACAAGTTTTGCCAATAACCTCCGAGTTTTCGTTTCAGGAAAGGGTTCATGTCAAGTGCAGGGATTGGTATTGATGCATTAGCGGCATCGTTGCTGGCGGATGCAGTCAGCTGATCTGCCAAAACGTTTCCCTGTATCTCACGGTGCCCCGGCACCCAGCAGACTACAACGTGCTGTTTGGATGAGTAGACTGTGCATAACAGTGAATAAAGGGAGTCAAGAACTGGGTTTTTGTGTTTTTTTAAGTGTTTTCAAGGCTTTCACCACACTCAGAGAATCCGTGTAAATTACCTCTATTTGTAGTTTTATATGTGCAATGTGTTTAACAGCTGCAAGTATTGCGTAGGCTTCTTTTGTGAAAATGCTAGCATCAGGATGCAGGACGCCAGTATCTGAGAAGGATGGGCCAATGGCTGCGTATGAAACAAGTGTTGGACTTTGAGGCACCTGTAAAGAACTCAGGGCATGTGTACTTTTGTTGTAGTTCTAGGAAGTATGTGCAGATATGTACAATGGGTGTGTGCTTTGTAATCTCTAAAAAGGACACATCACAATCTATCGATTGCCACCGCCATGGTGGCAGACATGCTGCGGGAGCCATCAAACGATATTCGAGTGACACACCGGTTTCCTCAGAAAGACCTTTCACACGAAGTGAATAGGGCTGTCTCAAAGATGGCCGGTTTTCAAACAAAACAGAAGTAGACATGTCATAAATTGTGAAGTGTAAAGGGTGGTCCTTGTCTGCCTTTGCTTTGAGATATTATAGAAAAGACATATAACATCTCTGTAGGTGGAGTGACCATTCATTTGATTTCACGTACAGGCTTTCAACGGGGCTGGTGCGAAAGGCACCCGTAGAGAGGCGGATGCCTAGGTGGTGAATAGGGTCAAGCATTTTTAGGGCGGTAGGTGTCCCAGACTGATAGGTTATTGCTCCATAATCCAAGCGAGTGCGTACGAGGCTCCTGTACAAATTCATGAGACACTTCTTGTCACTCCCCCCCGTAGTGCGTGACAGCACTTTTAGAACATTCGTGGTTCTGATGCACTTGTTTTTTAGATACTTAATGTGTGGTACGAAGGTTAGCTTGGTGTCCAGAATTAAGCCTAAGAATTTGTATTCGGCATTAACAGACAGGCGTTGACCATGCAATTGAATGTCAGGGTCGGGGTGAGTGCCTCTCTTTCTAGACAACAAGACACACGTGCTTTTTTGGGGGTTTAATCGGAATCCGTTTTCCTCCGCCCATTGGGAGACCTTGTTCAAGCCAAGCTGAACCTGCCACTCACAAACTGCTAGGTTACAAGACTTAAATCCAAGCTGGACGTCATCGACATATACACAGTAAAACATATTTATGGGATAGAAGGACGAAAGAATTCATTATGACAATAAAAAGAGTAGAGCTAAGTACACCACCTTGCGGCACTCCTGTTTCTTCGACAAATGTTCGAGAAAGAACGCTGCCGACTCTGACACGGAATGTACGTTTGGACAAGTAGCTTTCGATAATAGTAAACATCCTGCCACGCACACCAAGATTGGACAGGTCTCTTAATATTCCAAATCTTCATGTCGTATCGTAGGCTTTTTCGATGTCGAGGAACACTGAAAGAAAGTATTGTTTGTGAACGAAGGCGTCTCGGATCTGTGCCTCGATACGTACGAGGTGGTCGGTGGTGGATCTACCCTCCCGAAATCCGCATTGGAATGGGTCGAGCAGATTGTTCGTTTCCAGGTAATGTACAAGTCTGCGATTTATCATTGTTTCAAAAAGTGTACACATGCAACTTGTAAGAGTGATTGGCCTGTAACTACTAACGGAAGATGGATCTTTGCTTTGCTTTTAAATCGGAACAATAATGGCTTCTTTCAAGGCAGACGGGATTTCACTGGAAAACCAGATAGAGTTGTACAGGGAAAGCAGGGTTTTTTGTGTTTCAGAAGGCAGTTGTTTTCAGATTTCGTATACTATACGGTCCGAACCTGGAGCTGATTTATTGCAAACATGTAGCGATGCTTGTAACTCGGCCAAACTGAAAGGGTTGTTGTACGACTCATGTTTAGAGGATTTTCGCTGTAGTTTCTCTTTTTCGATTTTTGTTTTGTGCCGTTGAAAAACTGCAGTGTAATGCGACGAACTGGACACCTCTTCGAAGTGGGCACCGAGGAAGTTCGCCTGGTCTTCTAAGGTGTCCCCTTGTGTGTCTACAAGAGGTAGTGAAGATGCGTGTCGTCCTGCTACCTTGCGAACCATGTTCCAGACTTTAGTTTCTTTTGGATATGATGTGATGCCTGATAAAAATTTATGCCAGCTTTCTCTTCTAGCCTGCCGGCACGTTCTCCTGCCTTGGGACTTGATTTTCTTAAAGCTTTCAAGATTTTCTGCTGTCGGCGAGTCCCGTAGCAATCTCCACGCTTTGTTTTGTTGTTTGCGTGCATTGCGACACTCAGTGTTCCACCATGGGACACGTTGCCTGCCAGGCAGTCCAGAAGTTTGCGGGATGCATTGCATCGCAGCGTCGGTCAGAAAAGCAGAAAAGTATTGTACAGCTGCATCTATGTTTAAACCAGATAGGTCAGTCCAACCCAAGTGAGTAATCTGCGAGAACTGTTCCCAATCAGCTTTGTCAGTGATCCATCCGGGGACCTGTGGGCGATATTCATTTGATATGGGTGTGCTTAGCGTTACGGGAAAGTGGTCACTTCCATAAGGATTATTGATGACATTCCATGTCAGTAAAGGAAGGAGGGATGGTGAGACCATACTGACGTCTATTGACGAGTAGGTATTGCTGGCGAGGCAGTAGTATGTGGGCTGTTCAATCAGGCGACCCCGAGCATCGCAACGAGAGTCGCCCCATAGATTGCTATGTGCATTGAAATCTCCAAGGAGGATATAAGGTTCTGGAAGTTTACCTATTAGGGACTGGAATTCACGTTTTTCAAGATGGTAGTGTGGAGGTATGTAGACAGAGCAGATGGTGACGAGTTTGTTCGGGAGAACTACACGAATAGCCACTGCTTCAAGAGATGTTTCGAGTGGTAGATGAGTACATGCAATCCCTTCATTGACTATAATGGATACACCACCAGATGACGTGACGGCTTTATTTCTGTCCTTTCGAAAAATGATATAATGGTGCAGAAAATTAGTGATCTTGGGTTTTAGGTGTGTTTCTTGTACACACAGCCCTTTTGGTGACTGTTCATGTAAAAGTTCTTGAACATCGTCAAGGTTTCTCAGGAGTCCTCTGACTTCCACTGTAAAATTTGTGTCTCCATTTTTAATGTAGTTAAGTGCTGTGTGTACAGAAACGTTGCCTTAAGTTACAGGGCCTGTTGGGTCCCTGTAATACGGGGTTTCTCTTTCTTGCTGCTTCGCTCCAAAGAGCTGCGCCTTTCCTTCGGCGTCTGGGGCGCCGGAGGAGTATGGCTTGTGTCCATCACCTCTTCTGAGGTGGTGGATGGTGCCTGCTTATAACCGAATATAACTACCCAAGGTTGGGTAACTACACAGGGTTAACCCTCGAAGCCAGAAAATTTAGAAGTAAACGGAAAAGAGAAGACGACAGGAAAGATAAAAAATGAGAGATAAAGACGAAGATGTACGTAGAGAGAGATAAGAAAAGGCGACTGCCGATTTCCCCTGGGTGGGTCAGCCCAGGAGTACTGTCTACGTGAAGCCGGGGCCAAAGGGGTGTATTGCCTCCGCCGGGGGGACCTTAAAGGTCCAAACACCCGGCGTCGGCTCAACCCCCAGGATCCCCTTTCCCCGGACACGGCAAAGCCACGCATGGCTAAGCGTGGGAGAGAGTAGAACCCCCCCCCCCCCCCCCCCCGTTAGCTCGGGTCCGCGGTGTCGCTACACACCAAACGCCTACTTGCGCAGACACCCCTGCGGGGAAAATAGTAAATGAGTATAGACAAAGAAAAAAAGAACCAAAGCAGATACCCAGAATTTACGACATCCCTCACACAGACTGAATTATAGATGATACACCCCTGCCGGGAAAATAGTAAATGAGTATAGACAAAGAAAAAAAGAACCAAAGCAGATACCCAGAATTTACGACATCCCTCACACAGACTGAATTATAGATGATACAGAAATTTAAAATAACATGGAAAAACTAGATCTTCACAATTTATCTTGATTTGGTCACTAAAGAGTAAATTTGAATCCAGAGCAATTAAATTAAATTAAATTAAAAAGGCAATACTGACGAGTGCTGTGAGGTTTCGCAGATCACGAAACTGACTGCTTCAGATTGCTCTAAATGAACAAATACCTGTGGTCTGGAGACTAAAGCAATCGATTCCAAATACGCTTGCCATCTCCAGAGCTCTTTCGCGCACCTCATGAGCAAGACACCCCACCAGAAATTGCTTGGTGTTTAGCTGATTGAATTCGCAGCAATACCTATGCGCTACCAAGAATTGTCCTGCATCACCTTGACCGAGCGATAACAAAGCCAGAGTACATCAGGTGCTTGCTCACAGGGCTTGGCCAGACTTTTTCGTGATAGTGCCATATGTGTTGTCTGGTTACCTGCCCAGCCATCTCCAGGTGCCACCATGTCTTGCTGCTTGCAGTGCAGTAATATTCGGCACTCATGTTCACAGATGCCTTGACATCAGATCAGCAGCAGCAGTGCTGGTGGTGGCAGAGAAGGCTAGCTTGACAAAGCTAGCTGCCTAACAACATGTTTCTTCCTAGACTTCTTTTCCTCATTACATGGCACGGGTACGCACGAAAGCTGCATCATCGGTGTCCCGTCAATTGCTAAAATCTGGATCGTCCCAGCATTACTGAAGGTTGGGCTGCCTATTTTGAACATTTGGTTGGTACAGTCAACTCAAGGTTCGACTCATTTGGTCAACTCATTTGGCTGGTAAGCACACTCAAGGTTCGACAACTCATGTTCGACAATTCATGTTCGAACTCATGTTGACAACTCAAGGTTCGACAACTAATGCCACTCAAGGTTTGACAACTGTTGATGAGCAGCAAGGCCATGCAACAACAGTTAATGTGCGTGAAACGCAGATGGGAGGTGATACAAAGGTGAAGGTGAGCATGGGCAGCGACATGCCACTCCCCAAATTGCAAAAAAATTTCAAGCAATCGCAGTTCCGTCGTGCATTGGAGGCCCAAGTGTGCTTGAGGAAACAACAAGCAGCCCTCGCACGCAGAAAAAATTGAACCACTGTTTACAGATTCACGAGTTTCCGCCTCCGATCTAATCTCAAGACTAGTGTGCGAGTAGTTGTCTTTCGAAAATGTGTCTCTGAAATTTAATGGAAGGGCTCCTTGCAGCACAGTTACTAGACCGAAAACCCCGTGCCCCCCAAGTGACAGAAAAACCGCCCAAGCAATCACCTTTCATCTCTTAAACTGAGGTTGAGAGAAATTGGAGAAAAATGTCATCATGGCAGGCGCCGATCTTGTTCTGTTCTCGCAACACTGGAGCATCGTACGACCTTGGAAGCAAAGGTAAGGACATACCATACTCTAGGCGCACATGATCGAATGTTTTGAGCTTCTCAGTGGGCATTTCCCCACTTTCATTCCCCAACCACAGGGACGAGGCACAGGAAAATAAGAAGGGCAGGAAAGACAGGGATGGGAAAAAGGTGCAGTATTTCTGCACTATGGAAGTACACAGACGTACATTTGCTCAAGGAGATGTGCGTGTGTGCGCATCACAGTTTTTTATTCGTTAAAAAATGCATAATTTTTGCAGTGCGACAGACCAAAGGAGACATTAGGCGAGCTGACGAGGCTTACACCACCCCGCTGCACATTCATTGTGGCGCAGAGCTCGATGAAAACAAGCAACAGTCGCTCACTCGTGCTGCTACCTTGCATTGATTCTGTCATCATAATTTAAGGCAGCGTTCTATTAGTTGGAAAAATAACGATGAAAACAAGCAACAGTCGCTCACTCGTGCTGCTACCTTGCATTGATTCTGTCATCATAATTTAAGGCAGCGTTCTATTAGTTGAAAAAATTAACAGAGTAAAACTTAACTCACTTCGGCTCCCACCCGAAAAAGTGTATGCTTTTCATATCTCACTCGGATTCAGATTCCCTAAAACTCTGCTTGCACTGGTACACTCACATTGAAACTCGCAACCCAATATAAGCCCCTGCAGTAGATTCATAAGATTACAAACCCACGTCCCTTTAGAACTCACCAATTCGTTTCTGCCTCCAGCAGCCATGCCTGGTTTCCTACACAGAGTAAATGATGAAGCAGAAATGACTACATTCAATACTGCTCACTACTGCCAACTTTCACATTCCGTTTGATACCATCAAAGATATGTGCAAATACAAGTAGCTTGTACATCAAACAAAATGAAGCTTTATAAATACGCCTCCTATCCACAACAGCATCAGACCAAATCAAATGAAGGACAGAATGTCTGCCAAAGGCCATCAGCTGCAACTTTAATCCAGTGGCATCTTGAGATACCCTATAAATGCAACATTCGATTAATCATTCAATGAGCGCACAATCCTTCATAGTGTGTTGAATGATTGTGTGCTCCGCTGCCACTCACTGAAGCCGTTGGCTCGGTAGCACCAACAACCATGCTCGGTTTCCTGCGCGCAGTAAATTACGAAGCAAAAACTGAATGCAATGATAGCGACAGCTGCCAACTTCGACATCCTGTTTTACAATAACTTTGATCACACCTTTGACGATCTCTGCAAATCGAAGTCGTTCGTACATCAAAAACAGCCAAGCTCCATGAGTAACTTTATCTGCAACAGCATCAGATAAAGTTGCGTGAGCAGTAAAATGATAATACGTGGGATTTAAGGTCTCAAAACCACAATATTATGAGATACGCCGTGGTCGAGGGCTCCGGAAATTTCGACCATCTGGTGTAACCTGCACCGATATCCCACAGTGCACGAGCCTCTAGCATTTCGGCTCTATCGAAATGCAACTGCCGCGACGGGGATCAAACCCACGGCCTTCAGGTCAGCGGCCGAGCACCTTAACCGCTACACCATCGCGGCAGACTCGAATAAGCAGTAGTGGTGTCTGTAACAGGCTGGCAACTACTATTTTGACCTCGCAGCACCTTAATTAAACAAAAAGATGTGGAGATGACGTGGTTATGTTGGTGATCGGCTTACTAATCTTATTGCACTTGATCCTCAGTTAATTTAATTGCATTTGCCTTTCTTAGCATTGTTGCCAAATATAAATGAAAAACTCACAATGTCTCCTCGAGGTCATCGAAAGAGTCAAAATCAGTAGACCATGACAGCTGAAAAATAAAGAAAAGACACTCGTGCAATGATGTCTGTAAGACTTCGTTAAAACAAAACAAAAACTTCTATTATTGAATTATATTATTGCATCATACGTGTTATAAGCATTGTTTCATTATATCCCATTTCATTAAAACACTGTACACTCGAAATTTGTAACATGGGAAGTGATATAGCAGGAATATATGGAAGTACAGACACTTTATTCGGTTCCTGTATTTCTATTTGACAAAAGAGATGAACTGGCGGTGGACTGAAAATCTATGGATCAACTGAAGCAATTAATCTGTATAAATTAAGAAAATTCCACTAATTAACAAAATTAAGGTAGTGAAATGAAACGCCCCCTCTTAAGTGAAATGCCTCCTCTTAAGACACGACAGACGGTGAAAACCTGCAACAGTTGTGACCCTGTACTACAGCACGCATAGCTGAACAGGAAATTGCCACATCGGTGGTGTACAAGGTACAGAAGCTATCCTTCCAGTCTGTCGTATGTGCGAAACAACTACACTCGCAATGGGTGTGTCAAGCAGCCAACAGCAAAATACAAGACTTAAAAGTCACATTGAAGCTTAGTCTCTTAGTGCACAACCTTATCGTGCACGAAACTGGAAAGCTTCACATGGTGCACTAGGGTCCATATTTGAAAAATTGAATCCTTAAAATGCCCATTTCACACTCACCAAAGTCTTCTCTGCATCATCAGCAGCTGCCAAGTTCAGTTTTCTGCACGTAGACAACCGAGTGAAAAGTGTTTTTCAAAACTCTCAGTCATCGCCGGACGCAAGGGTGGTGTTGTAACATACAAGCATCTCACACACAAGACTGTAGTTACATTGTCTCAAATGATAGCTTCTGAACGTTACAGAAGCACTGTGCTTTGCAGTTGCTAGGGCTCAGAAGCACTGCTGGTAGAACCAATAAAAAAGTGTAGTGCCCATTGCTATAGGGTCACAGCAATGTGGGTTAATATACGATGGAGCCATAAGATAAAGAAACAACAATCTGCCAAATAAACACAACATGGCTGCTGGCTGCACCCACAAGGTAGAAGAACATTTTAGTAAAGGAAAAAAAGCCATTCACCCATTTCCAGCTGAAAACAATTGAACAACTTAATAAAAATTACTCCGAAAGAAAAGCTTCTTCACGGAAAATTTCTCTTAGACTGAAGTACAAATCCGAAACTACGGCTAGTATTCAGCCAACTGAAAAGTGTTTTTTGGAATTTCCCCAAGATATTCACATGGACTTCCTCGTAGTTTTTGGCTATGAATTGGTGGATAGCTATTTTACCTTTCATGTTTGTAGTGAACACATATCCCGAAGGAGTACGACAACCAGCGTGGGTTCGGTCTTAGCGAGCAATACGACTACGTTCACCCATCACCTTGCGTGACTAACGCAGCTGCATACGTGCGTTCAGACAGCTAAGGCACCGAGCGCCGCGTGGCAAGTACACAGTACGGCTCTCAAACAAGTCACAACACTTTATTGCCTATGGCAACACCGAAAAACGCAGTGCACCGCCCGTTGCAAAAGGAGGCAGGAAAACAAATGAGACTTATCTATACCATGTGCGAAGAGTACAACCCAAAGGGTGCCGCGAGCACATCTCCGTGGGCAAAAGGGTTCCCTGTAATACAACGCTGAGAGAAACGGGCCCTCACAACTATGCTGCGCACTCTCATAATAAAAGACAAGAGGGCTCGATCGCTCGAGCAAGGGAAAACTTCGCTCACGTTAGCTTTGAGAGGTACGGGTCGACGTAGTACGACCACGCGCGAACACACTGCACCACTTTTCGGCCTAGCGTTCGGAACGGGCCACGAAAGGCAAGCGTTCGTCGTGGGCACAAGGCACTGTTGGCGAGTCCGAACGAACTCCACACAAAGAGAACCGACGGACCAGAAGAAAATTCGTGCTCACGCTTCCATGTACAAAAAGTTTCCTACTTCCGCCACATGTGCGAAACGTCTCAGGAGACTTCGCACGACACCACAGTCAACATCTGCTACCGAGTGAGAAGTGTTAATGTTACTCCCGTTCCCCTGGTGCCAACGATTATGGAGGAGGGGGAGAGTCATGTTAGGGCATGTGGACGGCAGAAATAGGCGAAGAAGCCTGCGCAATGGCGACGGGCCAGCTTCAATCCTCACATGTTCTAGAGCAGTTACTGCACAGTTGTAGCTATTCAAACTTCTTGTCAAAGTAAATGGCAAAAAAATGATTAAATTACACTATATTACCAGGTAGAAAAATTAAGCAAGTAATAGAGATATACAATTGTCCATATTTTGCTACCTACAAGACTGACTTGACCAAACCCTTCCACAATGTTTAGTACTACTGTATTTGGGGCTAACACTTCATAAAGTCCATAATATCTCACCTTTGTTTTTATCTTAATGTATAAAATTAAATGGGCCAGAACACAGCAAAAGTGCAGTTAAGGTGGCCAATAGGGCCCTATATAATGCAGTGGCACAAAATTGCAAATGACAACAAATGAGGGAAAGAAGTGTAAGTATAAGGGCTCTTTTTCTTTGTTATACCCAATATTGATGAGAACTAACACACAATGATGCCAACAGAAGTAAAGCAGATGTTATAAGAAGTAATTATAATGAAAATATGAAGAAAGAAAAGTGGACGAAATGATAACTTGCTGCCAGTGGGATCCAAACCTGCAGCCTTCGAAGAAGACTTTCACTTCTTTCCTTCCTTAATGGTGAGGGTCTCATTGTGGCAGACTCAGACTTGATGCCTTCAGGTAGAATACGAGGGATTACTTGTCAGCTGCCAGCTCATAACAACATTACGTGCTACGTGACGACAACACACAAAGAGAGTGTACCAAACTCGCCGCAATGGCAACAAGTGGCGCTGACCAACGCTCTCATGTTGACCAACGCTCTCAATGAAAAGGTTAGACCAACGTTCTCAATGAAAGATTAGACTAACGCTCTCAATGAAAAGATTAGAAGAAAGGGAGCTCAGTGGCTGGCAGAAATACATAAAAAAGATAGAAAAACAACTGCGAAATTTTGGAACCATCTAAACTCCCTAAGAAATGAGACGAGCCTAGAGCGAAGGTTTATAACTACAGCCCAAGGTGCTAGGCTAGAAGGGGACGAAGCTATTGTATATATAAGAGCAAGGGTGTCAGAAAATTTTCAACAAAGAAGTGCTTTATGCACCACAATAGACAAGGATGAATCAAGTGGCGCAATGGCTCCATTTTCAGGAGAGTAGTGGGAAAGGGCTGAGAAGAGGGTTCTTAGTCGTACATCAACAGGCCAAGATGGCATTCCAATTGTGCTGATAAAGACATTAGGTCCGAAGTCTAAGCAGGCTTTGAGAGAGGCAGTGAGTAAAATAATAATCGATGGTGAAGTCCCCGATGGATGGAAACTTAGCAGGATGAGCATGATCTATAAAGAAAAGGGGGACAAAGCTGACATAAACAACTACCGTCCTATAACAGTGACATCAGTGGTCTACAGGCTGGCGATGCAGATTATAAAGGAAAGACTGCAGGCATGGATAGAGGATGAGAGGGTGCTGGGGGAACTGCAGAATGGCTTTCGGAAACACAGGAGGTTGGAAGACAATCTGTTCTCACTGACGCAGTGCATCGAAATAGCAGAAAAGGAACACAGGCCTCTGTGGCTAGCATTTTTGGATATCAAGGGAGCGTACGATAGCGCGGTTCGAGAGGACTTGTGGGGAATACTGGACACACTATGTGTGGAAGATGGAGTCACTAATCTTTTAAAGGATATCTATAAAGGTAACAAGGCAGTTATAAAGTGGGAAAAACGGGTATCCAAGCCTGCAGAGGTAAAACGGGGGCTTAGGCAGGGGTGTCCTCTGTCACCCTTATTATTCATGATGTACCTATAAGGATTAGAGGCCAAATTAGAGGAAAGTGGACTGGGCTTCAAGCTCTCTTTCGTCAAACAAGAAAAACTCATTGAACAGGCACTACCAGCATTGATGTACGCAGATGATATAGTGCTAATAGCCGACAACAAGGAATATTTGCAGAGATTGATGGTGTTGCGACCTGGATCCTGCGGGTCTCAGTTTGGTAGCGGGCCCCCGTCCTAGGACCCATCGTCGAACAAATCAGTTGAGGCGTTCGTAAAAACGACTACAATTTATTTACATGGTTAGTAACTGAGAAGGAGAATGAGAAGTCAAAAACTGTACATGAGAACTGTTGAACTGTAGAACTTTGAATTCCCGAAAGTCTTCGGCTTATACAGCACCTTGTTGCCAACCCTGGGCACATTGTCCGCGGCTTCCACCATTAGGGCGCTCCATGGTCTAGATGCTCCACCCACGAAGGAGAGGAAAGGCACCACACAATGCATGAGGAGAGGGCACAGTCTACACGATGCCCAAATATGGTCACAAACGCACTGCCCCGACGTTTTCGCACATGTCACCAAGTTTCGCGCACGTCCGATGATATTGGCTTCGAAGATTCTTCTGGCAGCTGGGTGAGGTTCAAAAAACCGGCTGCCAGTACACGTGTCAAACTTGCCTGACTCTTTGGGTAGGACAATATAGTGGTGGGCCAGCATATCTTCAAAATATGCCACCCCATTCAGCCGATCCTATGGAGAAAGGGGAAAAGGAATAGTCAACTAATCCCTCGTTGCTGGGGGGGCTCCGGCAAGGGCTGCAGCACATAGTGCATTATCCTTTTCTTCACCACCACATTCCATTCCCAATTGTTTGCTAGAAGCTGTGGCGTAGCAGCGCATATCCGGGGCTCCGCTTCTCCTCACAAGATACAGCCACAACCAGTTTGGCTTTAGCTTTCAGCCTGAACTGCAAATACAATGCTGGTTCCAAGATTTCCAAATCCTCGGTGACCTTGAAAATAGCCCAGCTGCCTCCTTGTCTGCCTCGGAAGCCTTGCTCGCAGCAAACACAATGGCCTTTCTTGAGTCGAGCTCAAAATGGCCTCTCTTGGCTCGTGCGTTTTCTCGGCGCGAACCAGTCCCGAGCCCCTTGTTCAGGTTTTGCCAAGAGGAAATTAATCCGTCTTGACGGCACACTCTTGCTTGGAATGCGTCGAAATATTTTCGTCCCGTTCATAAAGGCCGAAAAGCTTTAATAATGATGACGGTCGTAACAATGGACATCTGCGGTAATGAGGGGGATAGGTTAGATTTCAGATTCAGTAAGGAAAAATCTGCACTCATGATTTTTAATGACAATGAAGGTAGTGAGCTTAGAATACAGGCGGTCACGCTAGAGATAACAGATAAATACAAATATCTGGGAGTATGGATAAGTAATTGGGCCGAGTACCTAAGGGAACACGAAATATATGTGACGACTAAAGGTAACAGGAATGCAGTGGTGATGAAAAACAGGGCACTGTGGAATTACAATAGGTATGATGTTGTGAGAGGAATATGGAAAGGGGTCATGGTTCCTGGTCTGACGTTCGGCAATGCGGTCTTGTGCATGAGATTAGAAGTTCAAGCAAGACTAGAAATAAAGCAACGTGGAATGGGTAGGCTTGCTTTAGGAGCTCACGGGAATACACCAAATCAGGGAGTAGAAGGTGATATGGGATGGACATTTCAGGGCAGGGAAGCTAGCAGCAAGATAAAATTAGAGAAGCGATTGAGAGAAATGGGGGAGAAGCGTTGGGCTAGGAAAGTATTCAGCTACTAGCACATGAAGAATCTCGATACAAAATATAGGACGCAAACCAGAAAATTGACTGGTAAATACTTGGAAAACAGCAAGGGGCCAAACCAAAAAGAATTATCAGTTAAGAAGGTGAAGGAAGCTGAGACCGATATGTGGAAAATTGGCATGATTAAGAAGTCCGCACTAGATATCTATCGAACTTTTAAGCAGGAAATTGCCAAGGAAAGGATCTATGATAATACTCAGGGTAGTTCTCTACTGTTTGAGGCGAGGACTGGAGTATTGCAAACCAAGACATATCAAGCCAAATACGAAGAGGTAGACACGGTATGCAGTGCGTGTGGAGAGGAAGAAGAAAGTGCCGAACACTTGATAGTTTTCGGTAAAGGGCTTCACCCTATAGTTCAGGATGGCGCAGAGTTTTTCAAAGCACTGGGGTTTAGGGACAGGGAGGGCAAGATAGACTTTAAGCGGGTAGAATTAACTAGAAGGAGGTTATCCGATTGGTGGCTGAAGTCAAGGCACGAGCGAAAATTAAAACCTTCACTGCAAAGTACGAATCCTGAACCTCACTATTTAAAGAAAAAAATATACAATTTTTTGTTCATTAAGTATTACGGCTTGGTGGGGCTAGCCACCGCCTGATCTAAAGGGTACAGCCATATCCATCCATTCATCCATCCATCCATCCATCCATCAATGTTTAAATGCACATATACACACTGCAAAGTGGACGGGGGGTAGACTGCCACCACATCTGTGGTAGAGCATCGAACATGCTATTTGAAGGTCGCAGGTTCAGATCCTGCCAGAAGCAAGTTGTTATTTCATTCCACATGTCTTTCTTCACATTTTAATTACAATTACACCTAATAACATCCCCTATAGGTACTTTTGTCTGGGCATCATTGTCCGCAAGTTCGCATTAATACAATGACAACAAAGCACATTGTGAACATGAAGCAAGCCAACATTAAAAAAAATTCACTCACGACTTTGAGGGTGCACCAAGGGACCTCAAATACTCCACAAGGTCTTCATACTGAAACAAGACTACTTTTTGTGTACCCGTACAAGGAAACACAGTACACAGTAGGGCCACGTAATAACCTCTTCTATTTTTTCATCGACTTTTCAGCCATGTCAAAAGCAGGAACGGCTTTGACATGAGTATCTCGCTCTGCCTTTTAGCTGTGCTAAAGTCATGCTTCCTTTCCTTCACATTCTACGACAAAGCAAAGAAGCAGCGGCACAGAGTGAAAATTGTCCACCACATAGTAATAGCTAGATAGCCAACACGCTGATCGAACTGCGTAGCTGAAATGCTATGCTATACCAACCACAATTTCCCCATTAAAAGCTACAAAGCCGATACCCTCAACAATTTGCAGAATAGGAAAAACACGCGAATACACCTAGACCACAGCTTGCAGGAAGCGCGAGTCCTTTCACATTTTAATCTAAAACGTGTCCTTTCCACGCTACACTTGGTCAAAAGTGAACACTAGCCAAATGTTTTGCATTTTTTCACGGCTTCACTTTTGTATTGTATTAGATTTGTATTAGTAAACTCAAGTGCTTCCGTGGTTACCAGGTAGATAACTGGTTAGTTGGAGAATGCCTCGAGTGTAAATTCGCTCCCCACTTAACTGTATAGTCACTTGTTTAGTGAAGAAATTCAAGAAAAAATGCGAAGAAATTGTCGGCTGCCCAAACTTTGAGATTTCCCTGGTAACTTCCACAAACTGTTAAAATAGCCTGCTTTTGTTTAAAACGTATACTTTAAACATGCAATAACATCAGGGGCACACATATTGACAAGGACACCTGCTCAGAAGTCATGTGATTAACATGTCTACGCAAATGCCCCCTGGCAGGCACCACCAGCACTTTAAAGACTCCATATGATCAAAACTGACAAATAAATGTGTGCTAGGCAATCCCTGGGTAATCTAGTAGCCGGTGGTTTTGAACAAATGAAAGATGAAGCCCAAATATCAGTGCACATGAATGTGTTTCAAGAAAAGTACATAATGAGTCTCCTCTTCTTAGAGTTGAGTTCGTGTGCACTGTTCCCATCTTGGCCATTTCTGCTTTCAACCAAGATTTGTCAGGCCTTCGGAAATCCCTCACAATTACCACTGAACAACGTTCAGTGGCATCCTGCCAAAACACCTGCACATTGTGTCCTGTCCTCAGGACTTCGTGTCTTTTTTAAAGAATGTGCATGAGCACAAAGGTACTTCAACAGAGAAATGCATACACAGCTGAGACTGATCAGGCTATTCTAATAATGTAAAAACATGACGGGTTGTTATAGATCGGGACAAATGATACTGTTACCATAAACCTTTAGCTGCAACATCTTGGCCCTTTGCAATGACTTGGTTCCCTGCATTCATGAGCTCCATTATGTATGGGGAGAGCTACGATTGAAAACAGTGCTCCAGTGGTACTGACACTTAACATGTCTTAGACCGTCATGACTTGCATGTAAACAATGTGTGGTTTGTTTCTGAAATTTCGTACTCCAGGTCACGCAAAGAGTGAAAGAGTGTCGCCAAAGGTGACTGCCTAGAAAAGGCTGACCACCAAGCATCCATGCTACCAGTTATTGCGCAGCCTTTGTAAGAAAAATTTGCAGTTAGCACCCTTATAATGTTACATATAAAGTACAAATGTGGTAAATGTACGAGAAAGGACTAGAAGGAGCATAGGTGATTAGTAAATGTCGTGGGAGCAACAAGATGACTAGCACCACGATTGTGAGATGGTTGTAAAAGGCACCAGCACCAGAAGGTGCGAACATTGAACAACCTGACATGTCTGGCCACCTTGTGTGCATGGTCTCTGTGTGCCAAATGTTGGATTGTCTCATAGAAGCTGCATGTAATTCATGAGCTCTGCTATGCTTTCACCGTTCATCACGCTAGTTTTGATACTGAAGCCACAGTTTGAAGTCATCGAGCTAAACATGTTAATATTCGTCAGTGTGTACACTATACAATGCATAAAAATTAAATTGTCACCACTTATAGAGATATTTAGAGGTGCTAGAACTGTGAAACCTACTTTGTGCAGTTGTCTATTGCATTTGCGATCAATACTCTTTACCTTCCAAGAAAAATTCAACTTCTTTCCCCACCAGCTGAAGCACACAGCTGTAGAATTAGTGGTTTTTTCAACCCAGAATGAAATGGTCACACAGAAATGAAACAGCGTTTGGGCATATGCCCCCCGCCCTGTGTGCGTGTGTGTGTGCACGTGTATTAGAGAGTCTTTATATTTCGATACTCAATCATTATCCAGCTGCATTAGCATGTGCATCTGGCCTTTCACAACACACAATAGTCTTAATTTTGAAATTTCTTGCTGGATTATTAGACCATTGCACCAAGAGGCAAATGTTTTAGATACTAAGCACTTTGCACAGTCAGTCTTGCTTTTCTTGGCAATGCTCCTCTAATAATGCTCATAAACCTGCATTATCAATAAAACTAATGTCGAAACTAGTAAAAAAGTATTGATCAAATTTTTTTGCAAGCCACTCACGGTTTCCTCCACTGGGAGGGTCCCTTCACCGCAGCACACTCCCTGCTCCCCGCTGGAATGGTAACAGAAGAAAGACATGCATTAGAGGACAAAATGAAGCACCAGAAAACCGCTAGACTACATCAGCTAGAACAGTGCTGCACCATTCGCTACTCTTGCATTTGAATCATCCACTAGTACGAAGAAACCCATCTAGCCCAAAGTGTGAACAGACTAAGTATCAACATTTAAGCTACAAAAGGAATTGCTCAGCGTAGTTACACCAAGTAACCTTTAACAAAAATAGTTATGCGACACTAGTTTGTTGAACTGTAGAAGGCTATAAATGTGGGCATGTTCTTCTGCAAGAATTACGAGAAGAAAGCTACATTAAAATATAGCGCGACAAAGAAACAGTGCCACGGTCTGCATAGTTACTTTTGTCCAGCCTTTTAGTGCTGTTGGCTGGTCTTGACCTGTTTCATTAATGCATGTCATTGTAAAATTAGTACAGCAATCATGCCTGCACCTCTGTTCCTTATGCATTTTTGCTTCAATTCCATCACGTAACACTGCCTTATAGAAAGAAACACTACTATAGTCCATAAACTGTCGCTATGTAATAGATTGGAAAAAATAGGAAATGTAAAAAGAAATCACACCTTCTTCCGGCAAAGCAGGGTGACTCCGCTCTGCTTTGCCGTTCCAGAGGCCACAAGATTGCGCGCACTTCTGCCAAACCAGAACCAGCCAGAACCACTCCACCAATGGCGAGAGCACTCGTAAAAGTGAAGACAGCTGCTTCCGTGCATATAAACATTGCAACACGGTACTCTACTGCGGCACTCACCATGCAAGCACCCAAGACGGTGCTTGTCAAGGTCGGCTATGAAATATTTCTGGCAGGTGGCACCGACTATCTTGAGTTGGTAGAGAATCTCGACTATGCTGGGAGTTGGAATGAATAGTAGCCAATGGTAGCCAAAGTAGGTGACACCCACTACTGCAAGGTAGACATTGGTCTCGCACAGAAATATGATGGTGTAGTTGGCGAGATGTAGCCATAAATCTCAAACATGAAGGGTCACACCGAGAGATCTGCCGAATCATTCCCAATTCGCTGCACTTTCTCGAGGTCATCTGCAACGTGTCCTTCACACAGAAAAGACCAATGCCCATATTCAGTGACACTTGAATGCAGTGAGCTGTCTACGGGTGAAAGCAAGATGCGGATAGATGGCTCTTCAGTCGCCAGGACGTCACTTGAGTATAACGAGCAATAACTATCTAGTGGTAACCCTACAGGCAATAAGTTCTTGAGCCTTCCTTCTTGTTCACAGGCCCCACGGCGCTGCATCGACCAGACATTGTCGCCTTGTGCTTCCACCCATTATGGAGACTTGGGCTATTCTATAGTCATGACAAGAGCCATAGTGCAACCTGAAGACAAAAGACAAAATAATGTTGAATTCAAATGGCAGATTCGGAGCAGCCGATAGACTCTGTGAGTGAGCACTCCACTCTGGCATAGAGCAACGCCTCCAAATACGCATTTGGAACACAGTCCGCACCGCCGGAGCAAGCATGGAAGCAAGGAGCAAGCGAAAGTCCCTGAGTTGCCCAGAATACCTCACGTGTAGTCATTCCGATCCGCTGACTCCGCTGTCGAATTCTGTTGAACTACCACTCATACATAGCAGTTTCAGTGTTGGTGACATGATCCGATCAACTGCTCGTGAAGGAACTGGAGCTTCCCGACTCGGAACTGTCGCGAAACATGCGACGGTGGCGGTGCCAACGTATGTAGGTGTTCTGTGGTGCCACCAAGTGGGCAAACGTGTCAAAAGGAAGTGGGTCATGCAGGGTTCAGTTCCACTCCGCCGATTTCGGCGGAGCAACTTTTCCTGCTCCTCGGAGTCACTCCCATTCTGAATCCCCTCAGACTCTCTCATTGGAACACTTGACACCCGCCCTCACTCTGTCGTTGGAACACACTTGCTCCAAAAAGAGCAGAAAAACTTTCTCTGGCTCTGCAATTGGAATGCAACATAACACATGAGGAAGAGTGCAGGGGAAGGGGAGCTTCCTTGAGCAGCAATGCTGTGAAAGCCAGAGCGCACAATGTGCGGTGGATCCATTAGCTCAGTGAGCCAAGATGGCTGGCAATTTTGTGTGCACTGTATTTACGTGCCTCATGATGCAGTTCAAATCATTTCAGAAGATGCAACCCAAAGCATTTGCTCTCATCCTCTCAAAAAAGGGTGGAACAGGGTACATGGATTTGGGAGCAGTCCTGTGAGCAGGCAAAAGTGTTTTTTGTAGCCGGCTTGGAGCAGTCAGAAAGATGTTTCGAAGCAGACTTGGAGCAGCCAGAAGGGCTTTTTCGAGCAAGTTTGGAACAGTAAAAATATTTAAAGCAGATTCAGCCCCGTTCAAAGCGCTTGTGAAGAAAAATTTGTTCGATTCTGCATTTTTCAAACATTCAGCTGGATTGCGCATAGGATAAAAATAACAGACCTTCATGATGCGTTTTCGCATTGCAGTCATGTCTTGTATAAATTCCAAATTGATAACATAACCCTGTGCATTGTATGTTTTATCCGTGGGTGAAAGCGCACAACGGGGGCGACGAACGAGATTGAAGCGGAAATGAAATGATCCGGCTCATCTCCGCCGCTTGGACTGCGAGTACATTGCCATCCGATACCTCGACTCTGGAGGCCTCTAGTCGAAGAAGAGGGGAAGCACACCAACCTTGTTGGAAGAGCGTGCAAAAAAAAAAAAAAGAGAAAGAGGAAGGGTGGGGAAGGTTTCGCTCGAGAAACTATGAACTTCACTTCTAAAGTGAAGTTCATAGTTTCTTACACAAAAACTAACATTCATGCACTTGAGATGATTCAGCATAAAGCGGTTCGGTTCGTTTACTCTAGAACAATACATCCAACCACTCACCGCTCGCAGAACAAGACACCGGCATGCCGACTCTCTAACGCCTTTCAATGCTAGAACTAACATTTTCAAATTTTCCTTTTTCCCGCGCACTGTAACCGAATGGAATCAATTGCCAGCATTATTCATAAATAGCATAGACTCAATTGAACATATTGTATCTTGACCTGTATTGTTAAAGTGTTAAATGTCTTTCTTATTCATTGTTTGAGTCATGTCCTTATTCTTCGCGCTTTTCATGTTCTTGGTCTTCTGTTGTCCTTATTACGAGCTTTGTATATACGTCCCTCCTGCTTGGGCCCTTCACTGGGCCTGCAGTATTATGTAAATAAATAAATAAATAAATAAATAAATAAATAAAGGCGTAGTTGCAATCGCTGGCGCCAACGCTAGCTCGGCAGCCACCAGCAGGCGACTCGCTTCTATGTGCTGCACTCTCATCACGAAGAGACTGCGTCTAATTGATAAGCGCGAAGCACAGCGGCGAAATGAACGAGAATGCGCATATGCTAGATGAACGGTCATGTGCACCAGTCTTCGCTAGGCTTTTCCAAAAACAGGAGCCCCCCCCCTCGTTTGAACATTGTTACTGTTACTGTCATCCTTTTTTATTTCGTACGCTGCCACCATGTTATAAAAAAAAAGACTGTTTCACTTAACCGTCGAAGAAATGAATGCGATAGCAACAAACTGTAAGGCTGGCAGCCAGCTTTCTTAAATCCAATATCGCCTGACTCTACAAAATGCTGGAGTAACTATGCCAGAGAGAGATTCTCTTCTTGCAGTCTCCTTGTGTTGAGAGCACAGCACATAGAAGGGTTCACGAGCTATTTCCCGCTGACTCTGCCGTGATTGCAAACGCAAAGCGATCGCAACCACGCCTTTAGAATCAAAGTTCACAGCTTCTCCTGGAACAACTACAGCCCTTACAAAATTGAAACTAGAACCGTTTCAATGAAATTGAAAATATAACGTTTCAGCCACGTTTCTGGGCACAGAGCTAGATGGCTTTCGCGCTTTGCGCTAAAATTCTGGTGCTGTGGCGCAGTACGGCGCTGATAGGCGAGTTTGACACAGCAGGGGTGGTTCGGTGCAGATGAGCAAGTTTGGTGCACAATGGCGCAGCTGTTCCACACCTGTTTTAGGCTGCTCATGAAACCTGCACGAAAAGCCAGCGTTCACACCAGTGTGCTTGACTAGCCTTGTTGGTGTCATGTATCATTTCAACTTCTCCTGTCGCAAACGCTACTTTGTTCCCTTTCGGTGCTTGCACACCTTGAGTGACGTGTACGCGCTTCACCGAGAAATATGAAAATCTTTGGTACAAAATACAAAGCCAATAAAATTATGAACAATACATTACACAACTGTTCATCACATTGCTATCCACAGCAGGGCTTCACTTTTTGAGTAGGACTTCCTTTTTCCTTACCACTGTTAATTAAAATGATTCATACAGCAAAAGATCCCCTTCAAAAGGATTCCAAGAAGCAATATATCAGTGAAAGCTTACCTGGGTCGCTCACCACTGTCAGGAGGGCTATCCTGAGAGAGCTTCTGCGTTGCGCGCAGCAGGTCTGCTGACTGTAATGAATTGGAAAAGCAACAGCGGCACCATTAATGCAATGGCATTCGAACAAACTGAAGGTACTCTGAAGAGTGAGAATATAGACAGGACTGCCACTTTGGCCAGTTTCTTTACTGGCAAAGCCAGTTTCTAGCAGCAGACAATGTTCACCGGTTAAGCTTGCCAAGTGGTTTACCTATGCCCGTGTTCGTGACCTTGTTAGAATGAGCAATTAAAGAACTCGCACAAGCTTGAAACAAATGAATCTGGTGACAATCGGTAATTTTTATACTTTTTTAACAGCAACTTGTGTTATTTTTTCTGATAATTTCTATAAATTAACATCTACTTCAGTGTAGTTTATAATGTTCTCACTAGCCACACCCTATCATTGTTGCCGATTTGCAAGATGAATTTCAATTCAGCAGAGCTTTCTTGTTATTTTAAATGTTTAAGGAAGGAGACGATAGTTATAGCGCGAGAACAAAACGATGACACAGAGACAAGAAGGACACGAAAGACACAAGCGTTAACACAGCGGCGAAATGAACGCTATAGACACGAGCGCTATAACTATCGTCATGCCATACCCACTAGCCCAAGCTGCCACACTTTTAAGGAAGGAGCCTACACTTGATGGGCAACTTGTTTATTTATGTATAAATCTGAACGAAATTTTCACAGTTTGTGTATTTAGATATGCGGATTCTAAAAATTCAATTACTTTTTGATAGATCAAGCAGTTTTCAAGACACTCCACAATCAATGTAACACCTGGGTCCTTTGTTTACAGCCTAATTAGCATCTAAGCAGGAAGCACCAAAACATCGGTGACAGTGTAGAAACAATGTAGGTTGTTTAGGGAGTGCAATATGCTATAAATAAATTTGCTGGGCCAATTTCAACAGAAGTTAGAGGACATCAATGTTCAAAAAAAAATAAGCCACCTTCACCTGTCACCCATGCGAGCTAATTAAAAACATTTTTTTATCTGTATATTGCCTTCCAAATAGACATATTGCACACTTCATGCATTTATCTTTCTGGCAAAAAAAGAACTATCATGATAGCTCAAACGGAACAGAAGTTATTTTCCCTGCAACTTGGCAAAAGTGCCAAAATTAATGTTTTGAGAAAAAAAAAAAAGTTTCAAAACACCTTTATTTAAAAAATACTGATAAAATGCACCAGGGCCATAATCTGGATGCATCCCATCCTTATGCTTCTTCTTGACCAGCTTTCTGAGACTTTGGGACACTTCTGTCTATTTATTTGAGGTTGCACTCTGACGACAGTCCTTCTCCCTAGCCCTCAGGGATGTGCTGCTGAATATTGTGATGCCCAGCTGTTCTAGAATTGCAGCAAATGTATAGACATTGCCCGTGTTGAAGCACAGCACAGCTTCTGCAGCAGCAGCTTGCACAGCAAGGAGAGAAGCTTGCTGCTCATTTGATACCAAACTCCAAATGACGGATTGGAGGATTTCGTGTGTGTTCCGAGTTTTGCCTTGCTGGCATCTTGCCTCGCTGCCGCACCACTTGACTCCCAAAAGCGCTCATATTTTCGTGCTGTTGCCAACACCGACGAAAGACCCTCAAGCGCCGCGGTTGCCGATAGCATCAGTGCCGTCATAATTCACAGAGCGTCCGCTATCTGGAAAAGCTGCCTCGCACACTACTCCATTGATAGCATCTTCAGTACACAGGAGGCCAGCATCCACGCCGCGCACGCATGAGGAATCGTCTTCAATTAGGATGGCGTTATCAGACAACGCCAGCGCTTGCTCCTGCGACACTGTGCCAGCACTAATGCGCTTTCCACCTTTCTTCCGTGAACGGCGAAAATGATGCTGCGTTTGGAACTTTTTTGCACTGCCGGGCATAGCAAGATACACAAGCACATTAGGGATACGAGTCACGACACCTTTGCAAGGGTGATAGCTTTTCAAAATGGCAGCAGACACTGCCAGCGAGTTTTCCTGGCCAATCGGGAAGCTCTATTTTGGTCACATGTGTCAAGCAACCAATGGAATCACGCGCTGTGCGTAATTTTGACTTCGCTTTTTTTGCTTTTGCGAGGGGCACATAGCTGTGTACTGGAAAAGAAAAAAAGCTAGAAACACGACCTTTCCAACAAGACCAAAATGGCGCTGATGGAGTGCGTAGTTCGCATGCCGTCGGCGGTTGAAGTACAGCTAGTTTACACTTCAATTTTATAGGTCCACATGCGCAAAGTTGCTCTCTTTATGGGTTATAACTTGAGAAATAAGTGGAATTTCGAAGCCAAACTTTGCTGATAGGTGCGGAAGGGCATCGGGAACGCGAAAATGATGAGAGAAAAAATGCAATTTTCGGGCCGATTTTCGACTTCCAAGTGCCACGTCTTCCCTTAAATATACGTCTCCATTCCACAGCCAGTCAAGAACTGCATCAACTAAAAGGTTGTCGGCTTTTCTTGTACGGACAGTGCGCAGCCTTGGCTAGTTTCAAAAATACCTTACTGCAGCTAGCCGCACAGTCATGTTAAAATTCATTATGCTAAAAAACAATGAAAAGGGTCTCACCTGCGCCTTGTTGAAATGAAGGAATTCATCAACTCTGAAACAGAGAGTACAATCAGCTGTTGCAATTGCATTCATCAAGAGGAATGGGGGGCCCCTACATATGTATGTGCATGCACATGTCTATAGCTACACTCGAACCTCCTTACACAATATAAGTTCGTTATATCTGATAATTCCTTATAAAGGTATGTTTCTAACACTTAATCTACTAGAAGACTATTTTTTATTTCTTACTTCGTTAAAACCGATATTTTGTTATGCCCGGATTAGTCATTAACGAGGTTGCAGTGTGCATGTAGATGACTTGCATTGATGCCACTGAATTGACTGTTTTGGAGCACCAGCATGAGGGGACGCGAAGTTTGCGATACCACATTAATGCTATCAAAGCATCCACACGCAGGTTTGTTCGTTATTTACGCACAGAGGCATACCTCCAGTGTCGTCACCTTAATGTAGGTTGTGAGCAGCTCGTTTGACATTAAGAAGCCGTGTCCATGACGCCACATGCAAGCCATCTATAAATAACTGAAAATTATCTGGGGAAGGGGGGGGGGGGGGGGGGGGGTAAGGGGCTGAACCCACAATCTGGCTACACTCACGATCAATTCATAGGCCAATTAAGGCCCAACACTGGTAACTACATAAACTGTTTTCTGAAAACAATGATGGACTATTACTGTGCGTCAAAACACTTTCTTTGGCTGATCCACTTTTTCATTGTGCACAGGAGTAAAATCTCAGTACAGTTAAAGAAACTCTAAACAAAAATTACAATTCAGGCTACGCTCAAATACTTTAGACAGTACAGCGTTAATAATTAGCACATAAGTAATTGAAGCACCATAGAAAAGGGAATGTTGGGCATGAAATGAAACTTCAGTGCAACATTGTACCACTAGCCCGAAGATTTAGTGCGCCCTCAATACATGCAGTCCCTGGTGCTATGCCCCTGATAATAAAATGGCTTTCGGACATGAGCCTGATGGTGTGAAAGCATGATACCCTGCAGCGATTTAATCAGACTAACATACACCGCTCTCTAAGGCTACGTCTTTATGAAATGGGAGCGCCAAATTCAATAAGGGAAGTTGTGAACACACGACCACCACGCTTAAAAAAAATTTCTTTACAGTAATGCAGGCAACAGAGGCGGTCAAAATTTCACCCATTATTTCGCTAATTTTGTTAAAACGTTGAGATCCATTGGCTTCACCTGAACAACAAGCTCGCACTCGTAGCCGTGCCAAATGGCCACCAAAAAAAAAAAAATGACACCAAGTGGATGATGCCTTAGTTACCACACACCACTTTTCCAGATCTAAATTTAAGACCTAATGATGCAAATAAGAGGGCCTAAAAAATGAGCACGTCAACAAAAATTAACTTGCACTTCCCATAATGAAAGTCAGGTGAGATGTAAAGCTAAGCGTACTATGGTTGACTTTGTTGCCATCTTTTACAATGTTGCAAAGTGAACACAGCAATTCAGCATGTTTATTTCGAAGCCTACTTAAAACACAACCCATGTTGTGTCAGAGCCCTTGCAATTCCGTACTGAAGTTAGTTAAGTAATTATGAATTATCACGAGATTTCTAAGAGAAGACACATAACGTATTTTTTTTATACAATAGATGATATTTTAAGTATTCCCAGTATAGGGCAATGCATGAGCTGAGGCATTAAGAGTACACATTTTGCAGCCAAGTACACCATGAAAAATTCAATAAGCAGCGACTTGCATTCAGGCCAATATAGAACTCGTACAGGTTTCAAGGAAGGAAATTCAAGGACTTTCATCACAGGTTTTTCAGAGAATAATGAATGCCATCCCAAGAATAATTTTTTTAAAACATTTCAAAATTTTGACAGTCTTTTTGCCCTTAATATATATATATTCTGATTATTAACAGCAGCGGAATCGGTGCTCTAGTGTGGGCAGTTCGAGAGAGGCAGAGGAAGAAGAGGATAGATAAGGAACAGCCAGCCTGGTATACAAGAGTGACCCGCAATACTTCTAGAGACATCTGGGCTGAACGACGTGCCAAAGACACCGAAACAGACCACAACGTGGGTCTTGTGATTCAGGCCTGTGATTTTGCGCCAGGACTCGGTTCCCGAACTTTCTTGCCAGAAATCACCACCGCCTCAGAGTTACAGCTGACAGAGTCGCAGATGCCACGCATATTACTGCTCAGAGATGTGGAGCTCCCAGCAGATGTACGACTACCATCCCAGAAACACGGCCTGCCTTCAGATAGCAAAAAAGTCGTGCCTGGCCAGTCGGTGACACATGTGCAAGCTTCACCGCTGTCATTGGCCGAGTATGCAAGCGGTTCACCCTCAGAAGCCAGTGCAACTGAAGTCATAATTGTCCAACATCCGCCTGTTTCGTCCAGATCTTCCGACGCCAACATGGCCGAGCCTATCGATGCACCCCAGGTAGACGGTGCCTGTATAGACAATTCTGGCTGCATGATCTGTGAGCTCGTAGGTCGCTACGAGGCTCTAAGTTCGGGCAGTGTCCAGCTTGACCAATGCAACGAAGTTCCACTGAACAACTGCTGCAGCGCAGAATCCAGTAAAGATTGTGTTCAAGCATCCACACGCCTGGTGAAGTCACGAGAGATCATATTTCGTCCCAGTGACCGCACGACAAAAGTGCACAATGACAGCATGGAAGAAACTGCTGCGTCGCATCACGACCTCATCTTGCAGTCAGTCAGAGCTGGCACACATACCGTGTTGCCCAGGTCTTTTCCAGACCGACTCGCAAAACACAAATCAAAATCATATCGCCAAACTGAGGCGGTATATTTGTCAGATTGACATCCGATGACCCCTATGTCACTCACAATTTCGCTCTCCAGAGAGCCCTCTGGCGGCATCACAAGACCATTCTCAGCATTGTAAAGACCAACCACCACGATGCAGCCAACCCCACCCACCTAAATAACTGTGGGCGCCTCCACGCACTCGCAGTCATGGCCAAGTGCGATGACATAACAGCAGCGGCGTCGGGGCTTTAGCGCGGGCAGTTCGAGCGAGGCAGAGGAAGAAAGTGGATAAAAAACAGCCAGCCTGGAATGCAGGCGTTGTCTCTTGCACTCTTCATTACAATTTGCTCTTATTACACTCCACTAATGTCTAGCCTTGATCACTTCTAAAGTAGATCACAACAAGCAAATGTTCAGAATATTTGCCGAGCATTGTCTAGCATTAGCATGGCTTACACTCGTTACAGTGTACCAACTCTCTACATCACTTGCTTGATATGCAAAAAAATACAGCATAGATGCAGGAGACAGAGTGAAGCAGTCAAGAGGTAAGTAGAAAGAAAGAGAAACAGATGGGAGTGAGACGAGCGATAGGATAACAATTGAATAAAGCAGTGTACCACCGTAAGGGAGCTAGCACTAAAGTGCCATTAAGCATCTTTCGCTTCATTAACAGTTCATTTTATGTCAATGTCCTGCAAATCGAAACAGATGGGCTATCAAGCTGGCCTACTGCTTCCTAGATGAAAAGTTTTGGTGAATTAATACTAAGCTAAGAAGATTGCATTGTAAACTTTGGACTGCACTGATATCAAAATTCAAGGGTTTTCAAGGCAAGAAAAAAATTCCAGGACTTTTATTTTGAAAAGTACATTTTCACAGCCCTTGAACAGTTTTCAAGGGCTTCAAAGACGTTGGTCCAGAAGCCCTGCAAACAACATTGGTCCTTCGTGACTTGGCACTCTTGTTTGTACATGAGACTTGCTTTTACCATTACGGTGCGTTATCCAAAAGGAAGACAGCATAAACACTGAACTAATAATACTACAGTATTACATTCTTGTTACCAAAAATCCTTCATATTATTTCTAAGTGAAATATCTTGTTACACACATTTACTTAGAAGAAGGAAGCATGGTGTTCAATGAGATGTTGAAAATAGGGGCATTTTGGCAGGAATTCTCTTATTTTTTTATTTAGGAATGCTTTCTGCCAGCTGACAAGTATTGAAATCAGTTTGTGTGGGTAGTTGAATTTCTTTTATAAGAAGTATGGCATGACTGACTGAACGATAGTTAGATGATTATTTGTGCTGTAACTGCAAGTCGCTATAACACACGATGCCTTTTATTCTAGCACTACCAATAGCTTTAAATTGGGCCTCTAGAACATGACATCACATTATGTAAATTTTATGCATTTATAAACGTGATGATCCTGATGTCGATACTAATGTAGGCCATAAAGGCTTAGGTTTGCCTTTAGGCACCAGACAAATGGCACAAAATTTTAAGGCATACCCGTGCCCTTTTTGCATGGGTGTAACAGCAAACAAAAGATAACTCTTAGTTCATGTGAACTTGCCTCAATTTCTGCTAACACATTTGCATTCTTGAAAAATGTTTAGCAAAAATCTACAGCACAATCTGTTGAGCGGTAAACAACGACTGTATAAGACTTATCCGACATTCTTTCCCCTTGATGCGGGCGATATTAATTGCAGTACACTTATGCAGACTCTCCAAATGAACTTTTCTCTTATACAGGACCTTATACACAAAACAATTGCTGCGAGAATCCTGGAATCTTATTTCAACAATGCTTCTCAAACTAAATAAATAGGCCGGGTCACCTTTTTACAATGGTATCTCTCAAACCCTCCACGGCTTTGGTGTGGGCTTTGGCTGTGTTGTCGAAGCGTTGCAGCAGAGCAACCTTTCTTTCTAAACTCTCAAACTTCTCCATTTTGAAGATCCTGAAACATGAAAACTGACATAAGCACAATTTCATTACAGCTGCACTGCTTCTATATAACTCTAACGAACGACAATTGATATGTGAGGTTTAACATCCCAAAACCACCATATGATTATGAGAGGCGCCGTAGTGGAGAAGTCTCGAAATTTAGACCACCATGAGTTCTTTAACGTGCACCCAAATCTGAATCCATGGGCCTCAACTCTAACAAATCCAAACCACATATTTGCAAAGCCTTGGAACAGTAGCATCTATAAAACAATGCAGGAAAATAAGTGGAATAAAAATTCAGACATCCTATCAGATGTTCTTACACATATACTACACTAGTACTGCAAGATTGAAGGCGGGCAGAACATTAACTATTGTTGTTTCAAGGATTCTTAATGCACATTATCAGGCCATAACGATTGTTATAGTGCGAGCTCTGAATGACGACAAAGGAACAAGAAGACGAATGCTGCACGAATTAGTAGATTAGGACAACACAAATGCCAATAAATTCTTACTTCCAAATTAAACTCATCACCTTACTGTGTCATGTTATCACAGCCTTGAGCTATTCTGGTATATCGGTTTCACCGGAGAAACTTTTCGGATATATTTGCTTACAGATATTACTAATGGCTACTAGTTAGAAATCGCAAAGCGTCAATGGGTTTCTCACATGAATGGCATTATTTTCCAACGTAATCCGACTGCATGTCTGCTCCAACTAAAATTGATTTATTTGATCTTTTTTGTAAAAATTGAGCCCTAGAAGTCGCCGGCTATGAACCTCATCCACTACCGGTGGTCACCATCTTGGTATGTCGTGCACGAAGAAAAACGAGCCCTTAAATCTACCCTTTTTTTCATTCATAGCGGGGGTCTCGTTTTGGCAGACTTGATGCCTTGAGGTGGTATACAAGGGATTATTGGTCAGCACCCTCTCGTAATAAGATCACACACTACGCGACACCAAAACAAGTAAGAAGAGTGTTCTGCACTCGCCACCATGGCAACAGGTGGCACAGACTCGCACTCCCACATTTAAATGCACATATAGACCCCATAAAGTGGATGGCGGGACAACTGCCACCGTAGCTCAGTGATGAAGCAGCATTATTCAAAGGTCGCCCGTTCAGATCCTGCCAGTGGCAAGCCGTCTTTTCATCCACTTTGTTTCTTCCGATTTGCATTACATTTATAACAGCATCTTCTATACTTACCCTGGCAATATTGTCTGTTAGTTCTAATTACTATTGTGCGATGTCATGTTACACACACTGTGAGTGGCAATTGGTGGAAAACGAAAAGACTCGTCAATTTTGTCATCCATAGTACATTTACGAGCATGGTTCAAAAACTTATCCTGCATGGTATCAGATTTTTCATTGTTTTTTTTTTTTGTTTCACTTTGTTGCCTTGTTTTCGTGAGCACATTAGCACGTGTACTCTTTAGCCGGACAACAAAAAGCTTGTGGTCATATAGCATTGTGAAACGATTTCTGGTCAGTTATGCTGCTCATTTATACGAATAACATCTTTTATGCTAATAACATGGGGAATAAGTATATTCAGTGAATCAAGAAATATTACAACAAATATAATTCATGGTCATTGTGAAATAATTCATAGCATTGTGAAACAATTTCTGGTCACTTATGCTGCTCATTTATACGAATAACATCTTTTATGCTAATAACACGGGGAATAAGTATATTCAGTGAACCAAGAAATATTACAACAAATATAATTCATGGTCATTAAATCTGGTTCACTGCACAGAAGCAGCTTAATCGGGGGAGATTCGAATTATTTGATCTCGGTTTACGGGCAATTCTCTAGCTTCAAGAAAGGCTGCAAAGCAAGAAGGTTTAATTGGCTCAAAAGGGGAAGGCATCTATGCTTCCAAGTATAAAACTATGCAATATTCGCCGACTTTCCCGATTGTGACAGTAGTAGGACATAAGATAGCGAGAACCGCGACGCAGCACAGCGCAGGTTACTGACGTCCCAGTGACGCAAGCGAACCACGGACACCGACAAATCACGAGGGCCAAGGGAACACATTACGGGCGCAACTTCAGCTAGTACTGTCCGCACAATATCGACGAACAACAGTAGAATGCCTGTACTGTATTCACGGCCAACAAAAAAGTAAACAGAACGTACCTAGCAGTTCGAATTGGGCGAGGCGTCTCTGTTCCAAACGTGTCCGAGCTATGAAATGCTTGGAAGTCACTGCTAAACGAAAACGTGGGTTCTCGCTAACACGACGTACGTTTTTCTGGCGGCCGTCTTTCTACGCCGAGTACACGGAAACCACACGTCGCAGGAACAGCCAGGGTAGCACGAGACGCGCGAGCGTGAAGGCTTGGGTGAGTTCTTCTTCTACTCTTCTAACTCTTACCTAATGCAAGGGATTCAACAAGAGTTAGGTCTATTTTTTCGGTGTTCTTTTTTTCGCATTACTTCTCGTATAAGCTAGGTATAGGTGCTTTGGTTTGTGACGACCTTTTTTTTTTTTCTCTCTAAGTTCGCACGCTGTGTTTTACGCTGTCACGTAACATGAGACGCTTAGGAACACAGACGCTCCACAACGGTTGAGCCACAGAACACCCACACACTACCATTTGTAGAGCCCACACATCCGGCCACTAACCTCGAGACGTGCTTTCAGTTACGTACGCCGCAAGCAGTCAACGCAGTCAATTCGCTCACCTTGTTCGGAACTCGCAGCCTAAGCACTGAATACCTGCCCAAGTTTGCGATTGCCGCCCTTGCCGTTGGCGTTGAGTAAGACATGTGATGATGATGATCATAGAGGTAATATACAGTCTGTCTGTTAACTCTATGATGATTACCTCCTCATATGAATGGCGCTAAAGCCAATCTTGAAAATTAGTTTAGAAAGAAAATTGACAACAAGTACGACATGTGATTTGCTACAGTGAGTTTTATTGGTCACTTTTTTTCTTGCTCTTGAAGAGTAAAAAGTTATAAAAGCGGCTCCGCAATTTAAAAAAATAATTTTGACACTTTTTATTTACACTATTTATAATTTTTTAAGCTATGACTTTTCTTTTAAAGTTGCGTGTTTCTGGCGTTGACAGCACTCTGCTATAGTAAACTAAAGTATAACTTTGCTCATATAGTTACCCAGATCTTGAGGCCATGTTTCTGCTCATTGCATGCAAAGAAAACGGAACTCACCATCAACTTAGAAGCGTGGCAGCTTGGGCTAGTTGGTATGGCATGACGATAGCTATAGCGCGAGAACAAAACGACGACACAGAGACAAGAAATACACGAAAGACACGAGCGCTAACTTCCAACTGAGTTTATTGCGCAGAGCACGAAAATATATAAAGGAGACAGTAACCATGTGATAAGAACCATATGGCACAAAGAGCAGAACATGAGTAAGAGAAAAACAAAGACAAAAAACACAAAAAACAAAAGCTCAGAAAAACGGCAAAGAAAAATCTATAAGAAAACGAAACAGAAAGGTAGAGATAATATAACTACCTGCGCGCACCGAAACCTTCGAGGAACCTGAGTTCCTTCTCGGACAGAGCCACGGAGGGCTTGCTAATACAAGGCACCTGTTCGCGTGCCATCTGCGCGGCCTCGACAATGACTCGGGTGCGCTCATCTCTGTGCTTGTACAGCGTCACAGTTTCCTTGAAGAGGGGAACACAATTGCACTCAGTGCAGTGCTGAGCAAGAAAACCATCTTTCCCGTTTCTAATATTGTTAGCGTGTTCTCTCAGCCGATCGTTCAGACACCTTCCGGTCCTTCCGACATAACAAGCACCGCATGAAAGGAGGGCCCTATAGACAACTTCCCGGGAGCAGGCCGCATACCTGTTTCTATGTTGAACTCTGCATTCCGTTGATGACTGCGTTTTCAGGGGGTTTCCAGATTTGGTGAGGCTGATTAATTTGAACGGTGTCGAGAACAGGACACGAACTCTAACACGTTTTCCGATTTTCTTGAGCCTGTGTGATATCTGGTGTTTGTATGGAATCACGGCTATCCTTTCACGTTCTGCATCCGTGTTGCTCGGATTCTGTCGTTGCCTCTGCTCTGCCTTATTAGTCCGCAGGATAGTCTCAGCAACGGAAGCTATAAACGCCTCGGGGAAACCCGAAGCCTTAAGCCGGGAAACTTGAGTTTTGAAGCTCACAGAGATATTGTGGGCGCACGACCTATTTAAGGCATTCTCAAGACAGGTTCGTGCTTGGTGTTTTTCGCGTCCTTCTTGTCTCTGTGTCGTCGTTTCGTTCTTGCGCTATAACTATTGTCGCCATCAACGTGGTGGAGCACACGCGCTATAACTATTGTCACCATCATTGGGGTGGAGCACATTTGGCAAGCACTCTCAAATTATGACAGGTAGATTGCCACTATCCCTCAAGAAGAAGGTATATAACAGCTGTGTTTTGCCGGTACTTAGCTACGGAGCAGAAACCTGGAGACTTACAAAGAGGGTTCAGCTTAAATTGAGGACGACGCAGCGAGCAATGGAAAGAAAAATGGTAGGTGTAACCTTAAGAGACAAGAAGAGAGCAGAGTGGATTAGGGGACAAACGGGGGTTAAGGATATCATAGTTGAAATAAAGAAGAGGAAATGGACATGGGCCGGACATGTAGCGCGTAGAGAGGATAGCCGCTGGTCATTAAGGGTAACTAACTGGATTCCTGAGAAGGGAAGGGGGTTAGGGGGAAACAGAAGGTTAGGTGGGCAGATGAGATTAAAAAGTTTGCAGGATAAATTGGCAGCAGCAAGCACAGGACCTGGTTAACTGGCGGAACATGGGAGAGGCCTTTGTCCTGCAGTGGACGTAGTCAGGCTGATGATGATGACCATCAACGTTACTAAAACTGCCAGATTGCAGCGCCAACAATTACTGATAACGATTTGTGCCCTGGTGGTGTTGTTCTTTGGTAGTGTCATCCATCCATGGTGTTATCGCAGACCCGCGAAGTGTGAGTGTCACCGGTGCACCAGTCGTCCCCGTTACGCCGGCGATGAAAGTCTGGAGGGCAAACTTCGTCGCGGGCGACTTTTTCAGGGGCATCGTGGGTAAGCACACGGATCGGTACTTGTTTAGAGCGGGAAAGCGCGTGATTGTTGACGCCGTTGTTGCCCGAAGCTGCTACTTCGCGTTAGCTACAAGATTTCATTAGTGCCAACGTGCAGTATGTGAAGTGTCATGTTTTTTGTCATGTGAGGCAATAAGCTCCCTTTGTGAATCCAATAATACCATGGCTACTTGAAAAAATGTTGCAGTACTGGCACACTGCAGTTGCAGAGCCCCTTTAATAAAAACGTTATTATTCGGCATTGCGAGTGATCCTGTGCAATGCAGAACGCACAAAGGATGTAATTCATTAGGTTGTGTTTTCGATTGAAAGCAGCGTATCAATGATCACACCTTTTCGATTTTGGTTAATGATGTGTGCTAATTGAGATAAATAAAACGTATGTGAAGTTTAAAAACTGGTGTGTTGGAGCAACCCTGCCACGTCATTGCTTCGAACTGCTTCTCAAAATTGCTAATAATTAAGCATCCTGCTCTCCTGCAGGAGCACGAGAGCAGGATGAAAACACTTTGGATATGTAAATTTAACTCTCAGTTTTGGTTTCGAAGTTGTTTTTTTCTGACCCCTCGGTCTCTTACTCTGCTATATTCGTATGTTTAAATAATAGCGCGCGTACGTGTCTATTTACCTAAAAGAGGAGGATGGTTATGCTTTGCATTTAGGAATATTCTAGTAGATCTAGGAAATGTGGATGGATGGATAAAACTTTAACGAACGTTCGGCAAGCTTTAATGCGACCCGGGCTTAGGTGTTCCCCGGGTAAACGTCAATGTCTTGCCTCAACGCAGCCTCTACATTTCCGATGGAGGCGGAAATGTTGTAGGCCCATGTGCTCAGATTTGGGTGCACGTTAAAAAACCCCAGGTGGTCGAAATTTCCGGAGCCCTCCACTACGGCATCTCTCATAATCATATGGTGGTTTTGGGACGTTAAGCACCACATATCAATTAATCAATGCAGCCTCGCGAGCTTGCTGGACTGCCCACATTTATGGCCGAGGTCTAAACTGCGTAGAGCGGTGGCCCCCATTCGACGACAGGGTGCAAAGGGCGAATCGGCGACGCTTTTTCAGCCTTCGTGTGGGTGCGGCAGGTGCCCCGGCACGTGCGTTGCGGCTGGGCGGGTAGCGTATGGACAAGCCCTTATGCATTCGTTTAAGAGGACTCGAAGACGAGTCCTTCTCAGTTGATAGTGATCCTCCTCTGCCATATGCGCGCGCAAAGTATCTCATGAGGGGGGGGGGGTGGCCGTTAGTCGCAGTGCCCCCCCCCCCCCCCCCTATTATGTCGATGTATGAGTATGGTGGCATAGTATGGATGGATGGATGGATATGGCTGTACCCTTTAGATCGGGCGGTGGCTAGCGTTACGAAGCCGTAATACCTAATGAACCAAAAACTATATTTATTTTTTTTTCTTAAAAAGTGAGTTTGAGGATTCGTACATTGCAGTGAAGAGTTTAATTTTCACTCGTGCCTTGACTTTAGCCACCAATCAGATAACCTCCTTCTAGTTAAGTCTACCCGCTTAAAGTCTATTTTGCCCTCCCGGTCCCTAAACCCCAGTGCTTTGAAAAACTCTGTGCCATCATCCTGAACTATAGGGTAAAGCCCTTTACGGAACATTATCAAGTGTTCGGCAGTTTCCTCCTCCTCTCCACACGCACTGCATACTGTGTCTACCCCTTCGTATTTGGCCCGATATGTCTTGGTTCGCAGTACTCCCGTCCTGGCCTCAAACAGTAGAGAACTACCCCGATTATTATCATAGATCCTTTCCTTGGCAATTCCCTGCTTAAAAGTTCGATAGATCTCTAGTGCGGACTTCTTAATCATGCCCGTTCTTCACATGTCAGTCTCCGTTTCCTTCACTTTCTTCTTAACCGATAGTTCTTTTTGGTTTGGCCACCTGCTGTTTTCTAAGTATTTACCAGTCAACTTCCTGGTTCGCTTCCTCCATTTTGTATCGACATTCTTCATGTACAAGTAGCTGAAAACCTTCCTAGCCCAACGCTCTTCCCCCCTTTCTCTCAATCGCTTCTCAAATTTTATCTTGCTGCTAGCTTCCCTGCCCTGAAATGATGTCCATCCCATATCACCTTGTACTCCCTGATTTGGTGTATTCCCGTGAGCTCCCAAAGCAAGCCTACCTATTCCGCGTTGCTTAATTTCTAATCTTGCTTTAACTTCTGATCTCGTGCATAAGACCGCATTGCCGAACGTTATACCAGGAACTATGACCCCTTTCCATATTCCTCTCACAACATCATACCTATTGTAATTCCACAGTGCCGTATTTTTCATCACTGCTGCATTCCTGTTACCTTTAGTCGTCACGTATATTTCGTGTTCCCTTAGGTACTCAGTCCATTGCTTATCCATACGCCCATATATTTGTATTTATCTGTTATCTCTAGCGTGACTTCCTGTATGTATTCTAAGCTCACAACCTTCATTATCATTAAAAATCATGACTGTTGATTTTTCTTTACTGAATCTGAAACCTAACCTATCTCCCTCATTACCGCAGGTGTCCACCAATGTCCATCATGGCCCCTTTCTTCAATCCGCAGCACCCCCTTCTTATTATGTCAATCTAAGTGCTGGCTTTGCGCCCCCCCCCCCCCCTATCTGCCGCTGCGGTGTGTACGCCTATGTCCCCTGCCATCATAAGCGTGCGCACGGCAGAGGTGGGGGGGGGGGGGGCAATGTCACTTAAAAAGGGCGGAGGAGCGCAATGTTTGCCCATACTTTCACCTCATAGGAAGCGGTGGTGTGCACTGGAATAAACCCAACTCGCCTAACGTCGCATTCCGCCCTGAGCACCCCCCCCCCCCCGAAGGATTTTTGCTTGTAATCTGGTTTCCCATGGCCTCCATCCAGCATTGGAGGCATTTCAAGATTTCTGCACCTAACTTGGTATCGCACTGCTTCTGTGATCGGCCAGCATTTGACCAAGTGACAATCACATGGTGACGTAATTGCATCGGGCCATGATGATGTCACAATTTCCGTCAATCAGTGGCGCCATCAGTGTGTTGATGCCGACGCTGCAGGACAATGGTAGACGTGGAAGGTCACTATTCGTGTTCGATGAGAAACTTGAGGCTTTATTTTGCCTTGCTATTTCTTTCAACATAATGCAGTCGACGTGCAGGTCTGAAAACTTACTCGGGCCTCAGAGACTGCAGCGACTGCAAGTTGCAAGCCGGCTGCTTGCGTGCATGCTTTGGCAAAGAACACGATGGCACTGCTTGGCTGCTAATCGCCAATCGTTTTACAACTAAGGCATGAATGTCTAAGTCACTCCCACCTCCCTAGCAAGATCTATGCTGGAGTCTTTCGGATGGGTGCTTGCATACAGAAATGGGTGTTCTGCCAGCACACCGCAGAGTTTAGAAGGGGCATCTTCTGTTTTGGAAAAGGATAGCAGGGAGAATTAAACCTTGTATGGGTGCTCCGACTGCTTGTACACTCCCCTAGTAGCATGAATGATGCTATAACGTTGAATCATTATGGCTACATTTGCAACGCTGCGGCAACATATCGTGTCTACAGTGCAACATAAGCAACAAGGAAAACAGTTAGCTACGATACTCAGCATGAAACAGCTCGCCCAAAGCAAGCGTTTGTTGTTGGGCCATCCTGCCGAGCCCATCCTTGACTACTCGGTCACTTGCCTGCTCGGTCACTTCCTCCTTCTACACCCAAAGATGGCAAATGTAATAGCCATAAGCAGGGGGTTCGGTCGCCCTCCATGGCCAGTACCTTGCCTTTGGGCTGGTTACTGCATGTAAGGGCCTCTGCGGAATGGCTTGGGAACAGGGGGTGGGGCCACCAAAGTGAAATTTTTCCCCATCACCCTCATTATGAAGAAGCCTGTGCACATCTGCGTGTACTACTGCACAAAAGTTTGAACTTGTCATATATGTCCCCGCTTTTACTTTTTTTAAAACACAAAACAGTTTCTTTGCTAGGTTAGTGAAAGCGCGCACCCGGCTAGTGTCGGCAAAAACAGTGTCAAAAATTATGGAGCTGATGCTAGCGCCAACAACTGCTGCAGCAACCTCCCAAAGAAGCAGTGTAGGCGAGGGGAATCCCTCCTTGCAGCACCCACTCATGACGACATGGTTTAAAAACACTTTTGTGTCACATCTTGTATGAATATGCTCGGGAATCCACTGCATCGTTTTGCCTTAATTCAATACTTCACTGTATAGTCTGTAGCTTCTATAATTGAAAAATAAATTCCACAGATATGCGACTAAAAGCAATGCTCGAAGGGGTCTCGACATTATAGGCGCTGCACTTAATTTTGCTTGATAATGTATAAACCGTAGCAGTTCATTTGTTGCATAAGATGCTTCTATATGAAATCGTGGCAACCCACGAGATCTTTAATTACTAGTGCTTGGTGTACAATGGATTTCTTTACGTTAGCATAATGATCTTGTTATTAATTTCAGCTTCATAAAGCAACAATTCTGCTGGCTAAGAGCTTGCAAACTTGTTGTCGACAAAACTATTTAGTGACTACTTCATGAAATATGGCCTGGAATAGCTTGCAGCTGAGTGAATTAAACTGACACAATTAGGTATCTGGTTAACGTGCTTAGCTCATTCCATTTCGTCAGAACATTCCTTTAAAAGTAACCGAGCCCCTCAGTAGGCTCTGGTGTTTGACTAAAGATCTGTTGGCTACAGATAACAAATGTTTGTGGAAATTACTTCTAACATTCCACCATTGCTACATGTGAAAGCAGGTAAAATAAATACTATAGCACATGAAAACACTACACGCACACTTCACATCACCTCGCATACACATAAACTGAAGCCACCATGCACCAGTAATACCACTTCAACAATAACTCATTCTGTCAATAGATCAGTCTCTTTTACGATGACCGGGAACATTAAGTCAGCACTGTCCGATAACTATAGAACACAGCTTGAAGAACGTTGAAATTAGTGGCAAATGACACCCAGATTTCACCTTTCGGATTCTGTGCACCCGCACATAATCTGTAATTGCAGAAATTGCAACATTTGTGACAACTGCAATTAATGAACAGCAGAAATTCTCAAGGGCCTTCAGATAAGTGTTTCCAATTTGAATCATAATTATTTTCTCTGATGAGTAGTAACCTAACCTCAAAGAATAATAATATCGATGATAACGGTGGGCAACAAAAAACTCAGACAGGGAGTTCAATGTGATGTCATAATCTGTATTTTCTCATGTTTTTCCCCATTTCCAGTCCGCCAAACAGCGCTCATGATGCTAGCCACATTGGCGTTGCACACGTATAATCTATAAATGTAACTCAACTTTTATTTAGCATCACTTTAACACTAACCCAACCACACCGTGTGCACTGGACACAGTAACTCGTTTAAAGAAACAGTGAGGCCTTGTAGTGGCTCAGCGTTGCCCTTCCTTAATGTTTAAATGAAGCAAGTGCTACTATAATAAAGTGTAGAAAGAAATAAGTCATAAAGCAGTAACATCATATCCATCAAGGGAAAAAAATGCACCACTGAGCTTTAAATGATCACAGGCTGTGGGATTAGAAAATATTCAACATAACACAGATGAAATTATGCACAATTCACAGCTTCAAGAGGTTTTTCTTCCGACACAACTTCATCGACTTAAATTTTCTATGTAAAGCCAAAAGCAAGTTTGCCTGCTTCAGTGACAGGATTGTAGCTTTTCTTTCAAATACCTTCAATCTTGTGGTTGCCTAATGGGGAGTCATTCATATCAGTATATATAAATAAAATGTGAAATGGGTCAAAGGTCAAACATGAACACGCGTTTACAAAAAAATCAAGGGGTTCGAGGTGCAGTTTTAGAAGTTAATAACACTATAGCCTCGGAAATAGATTCGAAAAAGGAAAGCTGTTACATAACACACATACGCGTTGCCTTCCCCACTCCCAAACTTAATCGCCCACCCTTAGTGTTAGTGGAGGCATTCCAAACTAGTCACATCAGATTGCCTACATGACTAGCTCACTCACAGATCTATTTTTAATACTTCACCATCACCGGGATCTGTCTGGATTGCATCATAAACGCATAAACCATAATGTGCCAAAGTAAACTGCAAATAAACTGATAAACTCTCACTCAGCCAAAAAACAGCAATGTTAGACAAGCTCAATGTAGAAAAGCAGTGGCTAAACTGAACACTCTGGTCGCAATTCTCGAGTTGCTTGAGCACTAAGGCTTCTCACTTACGTCGCACCACCAAAAAAAAGCACTGACACAAAACGTGAGGTTACCAGGCACCATAAAAGTTAACTTTGTACATGCTTCATTGTATGATATGCCATTAATTGCTAATTAACACATGTAAGCTAAATAAGGACAGCTTGCAAACTCCTATCACCATATCATGTTTGCACTTTACAAGATCGGCATATAAATGGGCTCACTACGCTAATAGGCTTAAAGTACTGACAAATAATAGGCTTGAAGTACTGATAGGCTATCGTAAATAAATCAAGGAATCAAAGTACCAAGTAACTTGGATTCCATGACATATGGCCAATGTCTCGAAAATCCAGGTTTGGCTTGTGTAAATGTTTCACTAGCACTAAAGTAACAAACAGAATGCAACAAATGAGCATGCACTAAATGCAATCGATATCCATTTAATGGACACTCAGCCAGTTCAGCGACTGTTGAACAGCCAACAAAGTAAAGTGTGCGTAACCATGTTCATTTAATTTAGCTTGCTAAGCACATTGTATGTTTCACCGTGGTCCTATTATCCCAGTGAAAACATTTGCCATCACAACATAATCTGAATAATAAATATTTAAATAGGAAAGCATCACATCATTGTAAAATGTCACAGTATATTGTGTGATAAGCTTGTTTCATTCTGTACACAATCAGCATAAATGGGGGCCTATAAAAATAGAAAATGGATTTCTTTATAAAGATTGCTTGCGAATAAGAAATTTCAGAAGTAATACAACAGGAAAGACTGAGTGTATGATCTAATATAACAAAGCACATTAGCCTTAGTCAATGCACAAGTTGAAGCTGTCTTCACATTCTGTTAAAGCTATTCAGAGGAACACTAGCATATTTAAAAAATTCAAGTCTGAATAGCTGCAAGAGACATGCGGGGACCACTTCTCAATGTGTATGAAATACAGTGATCTAGCAAAATTAGCAAAAAATAACTTATATTAGTGTCCTTGTCAACATAGTCAAGCCAGATGCTTCCTAGTCAACAGCAACACATCATTGAAAGTAACCTAACATCTCTAGGTCAGTCCAGGATTGTATATCACAACACAACGTAAGCATTCCCTTTCTAAAGTGTCGAGTAACATGAACAAACACTACCTAAGAATGCAGAGCTGTTCCTAGTCCTCAAAAACACTTGTCTAACAAAGGTCGAATCTATGTACATTATACAGGAAATCGCTGGTTTTGAAAAAGGTAAACACTTTGAACCCACTTTTGGGAATTCAGTCTTGGACCATCGCGGCATTTGCTCCCGAAAGAGGTGAAGCTCGATGAGAAATTTTTCCTCCAGTGAATCGCTGCACGAGTGCGTGAGGCACTGCAGGTTTTTCAGTTCAACTCTACGCCACGTGCAGGAATCACTCGGATCCCCGCTTCTTCTGCCGACCGAACACTCCTCTTATGATCAGTCGGCAATCTGTCCAACTACGTAGTCTAGCAGGGGTCTCCCTGTCAAAGGCCCATGATCTTCTCGTTATAAGGGGTGAGGAGGTGCAACGACCCATTCATGCCGTTGATGGGCTTGTGCTGGTCGGCCGTTCTTATCAGAGGATTCAGGTCCTGAGATGACACGGGTAGTGCCTTCCTCGCTGCTTTGTTTGCATCATACTTTGCCTGTTGGTCATACGAAAAATTGCAAAAGTAAAAGAAGATTAGAATGTCACAGCACTTGAGGCATTTTAGGTAACGAAGGTTTGGAGCTTTATCTATTCAGCCTCAGATACAATGACATGTGCCAAGCAAAAGACCTTCACTCTTCCCTAATAACTCCTTCGAGGCTATATTCAAAATGATGCTTCTATGAGCGACCTGGTATTTACTATTTAGGTATGAAGGATGTGCACTGTGAATGCAAGTTATGAAAACTATGTACCTTACAGAGCAAAATGAGTGTCACTCAAACGGATGTTAGTGGCTATAAACACTGCATGCTGCTAGACACAATCATTATCACATCTGCAAAAAATATATATATATATTTGCCACTAAGTTTGCAAGGCAAGTTCATTCACACTGGACATTGAAAATTATGAAACAATTCAGAGTATCTTCAATTGGGATGCGATGAACTTATATGGATCACTTATGGTTCTTTAAAATCCATGTAAAATCATGATTTTGCAGTTCACCTAAATGCAATTTATACCACCATGGAACTGAGCTAGCTATCACTAACAGCTGTGCAGGGGTGTAGCCAGAATTTTTTTTCTGGGGAGCGGATTCAGCAACCCTCCACCTGTGCGTGTTTGTATTATACGTGCTTGTACATATATACAGTAATAAAAAACTGAGAAATTTTGGGGGTGGGGGAGTTAAGCCCCCCCCCTCCTTTGGCTACACCACTGCTGCCATATCCTGGCTGTGGCGGCTGCATTTCCGATTAAGGGGGAAATGTTGTAGGCCCGTGTGCTCAGATTTGAGTGCACGTTAAAGAACCCCATGTGGTCTAAATTTCCGGAGCCCTTTACTACGGCGTCTCTCATAATCATATGGTGGTTTTGGGACGTTAAACCCCACATATCAATCAAACAACCACTGCTGCCATGGTAGCATAGTAGGTCAGGTGTCATACTGATAAGCTTGAGGATACATGAGTGTTTTCTAGCTTTACCAGATGCCTTTGAATAACGGATGAAACGTAAGAACACCATTGTATATAGTATACTTAGACTTAGGCGCATGCTGAGGAAACTAAGGTGGTGGTGAAAATTAATCCTGAGTCCCCCACTATATTATGCTTTCGGCACACAAGAACCTCAAAAATTTTTATGCTAGTGACCTACCACCCTGGATCTGGCCAATAGACCAGAAAAAAGTGTCAAAAGTACAACAACAACAACAACAAATAGAGAAATTAGAAAACAGATAGAAAGTTAGCATCAAGAAAATATTGAGTTAACAAGCATCAGTCATCATCATCACCAACAGTTAAGCAACCTGAACCTTGGTATAAGCTACGAGAAAACAACTTGCAAAGGTGCATTGATTTCTCTTCAGTTTGACTGATCACAAACCTTAGTTGTGAAGAAGAAATCCTGCCCAAAATAGGCTTAATGAAACTGTACATTTTGGGTACAATGTATGTTCGACAGACCACAAACCTTAGTTGTGAAGAATAAATTTCTCCAAAAATAGGCTTTATGAAACTGCTGTACATTTTGGGTACAATGCTAGGTTCTGTCTCATGCCGGACCATTCCATTTTTATCTACACTTCCTGTGTTTATTTTAACCTCATTCCCCACAAAGCTTCTGTCCTTCCAAGCCTAAATCATAAATACATCCACTGCTTAGAATACAAGTGTTAAAGTTGTTACAAATCACCGAACGCGCTAGGCGATTGCGCCACGGAGGCAGTCTGTTACAAATCACACTCAAACAGCTCAGACACATATGTTACAGATACATAATACTACATGTTTAAATTTCTGAGCTTCCTGCTATTTTCTAAAATAGTGGCCACTTTAAATCCAAATAAATTATTGTAACATTAGTTATCCTGAAGTATAAAAACTGGCCATCTGTAAAAAAAAAAACAACTTGCACAATGTTGTGGGCAGTTAAAAAAGTAACATTGTTTCTTATTTTGACCTTCAGTGGTTCAAGAAAATGAGTAGTTTGAAGCCCATCCTTGAAATAATTATGAAGTCATCAACGCGCTTATGCAATTAACTGCCTCGCATGTATCAGATGGCCAGATAGTTTTTTGCTTGTTGATTTATTCGAAAATTTGGTCTTTGCAAGCATTTTTAAAGTTTCGGTGTTTACATTTCCAGAAAGCCTTTTTTTATATCTGCATTGGCTGTTGATGCCAAGGTCTTTACAGTTTCAGCACAGGATACACTGAGCGTATATGAGGACTCAATTAGGTCTGATCACAGCATGAAAGGAATGCATCACAAGAAGCGTGAGTGCTGATTGACTCATTAAAAGTGTCAACTCGTCTAGCCGCACCTTGTTGTAGCAGAGGACGCCGAGTACGGCGGTGAGCATGCCAAAGACGTTGAGGGGCGTCACGGGGTTGTGAAGCATGAGCAGCGATATGGTGATGACGGAAATCCGCTTGGTTGCATTGCAGACCGAGTAAGTGAGCGGCGAGACCATGTTGAGCACCGTGAACGCAACCAGGTTCTGAGCAAAGTTGAGCGCCCCGTCCACAAAGAGCAGCAGCAACACTGTGAATCCGTCGGACTGCCTGAACTGCGGTGCAAGGAAGAAAGAATGCAAGCAGCTATAGTTGTGAAGGGTCTTTTCGTAACACATCCAAACGAGATTTCCAAGCTATTCATTTCCGAGAGCGTCAAATACAGCACACTCTCGTTTCAGAAAATCTGAAGGCACCAGGGAAATATGTATTCGGCAGGATCCCAATTACTGAGAGATGTACGGCAGTGCAGAATACAAGCCCAAAGTCTTAGTACAACAGGCGGTTGTTCCATTTAAGTAGCAATTCCATTTAAGAGATTTTCGCTTACTGAGAGTATACCGTATACACGCAATCCAAAAGTGATAGAAAAGGAAAAGGTAAAGTAATTTTGATTATAAAGAATAACTCGGACAAGGCCCAGGCGAGAGCGCAGAAAGCATGAAATATTTAAAATAACATAGTTCATGGCCACCGTACTTGCATGTCGCTGAGGGGTGATACCAACGCAACACAAGTAAAATGTGTCATTGAATATACACATTTTACGGTCATACTTTTTTGCGATCAAAGATAGTTAAAAATATCGAATGCACATTTTGGAATCGACGTGAAGTTAAGGCTTATGTTAAAACACGGTATGCAGTGATGCTACCAAGAACTTCTGATTTGGAGCAATTCCCGAAGCAGCAAGCTTTTCATTTTGGAGCCCTTTGAAGCAGCGAAAATTTCCATTCCAGAGAGCATTGGAGCAAGTAATATTGCATCTGTGAGCCCCCTGGATCAGCTAATTTCACGTTCGAAGTTTGAGAATTAAGTTGCATTTACGTTGAGATATTAGGATAATTATTAAGGTCTTATATGCTACCAAATGCGAAAATTGACTCGGCATCGGCGGAATGTTGTGGCATCGGCGCCCACACAAGTGACGCAAAAAGTCATCAGGCGATGACGTCGTCAAGTGACATCACGATACACTCAAGCCTCGATGTAATGAACTAAGATACAATGAACTATCAATTATAATGTAGTAGATGAAGAATAGCCGTGCAATAAATACAGCATTAGATACATACCATTATAACGAATTTTCGGATATAACGAACATATTTTCCTGTTAAATGCAACTTTGTCATAAAGAGGATTGAGTGTATCACTATGACACTGTCGCTAAGTCAAAGTGGGTCGATCACAAGAGCAGTGAAAAACCAGGTGAGGTGCGGAAAGCTTGTGCTGACTCTTACCTTGGAGGCAATGGTAAACCCCGTTAGGGGCAGAAAGCTTTTAGAGGAAGAGCGAGCGATAATCAATACATTGACTGAGAAAAAAGAATCAAATGGCTTTCACGTATCAGTATTTTCAGGTGAATGCACAAGGGACCTTGTGAGTTTGTTTTATGAACTCCTATAAAGAGCTACATAAGTACACTCAGATCTCATTATAACGAAGTTTCATCTTACATGTCGATAGGTTTGTTATAGCTGCAAATTTATTATACAGGTATATTCTTAACACTATATCTATTGCCAGACTATTATTCACTTACTTCATCATAACCAATATTTCGTTATGTTTGGGTTCGTTATATCAAGGTTTACGAGTATCTTGATCTATTGTAAATCTCATGGAAAAAAATCCCTCCAGAGCATTCGTCATTTTTTTCTATTATACAGTAATAAGGGTATCAGGCAAATGAACGTTGTGGAATGACCTCCTCAGATTTTTTTTCTCACAATAGAAAATAAACAGAAAACCGTATTGATAAAATTGTACATTATGAAATAACATTGCAAATACAACACTGCAGTGACCAAAGTGCATGGGCTCTGACCACAAATATATCTTGATGTTATTAAAATGCTGGACTTTGGTCACTAAAATAAAAAAGAAGGAAGAAGTGAGAGCTGCTGCACGTGCTTCATGCACTCCGCTATCAGCTACAGAATATTAGGTTTTAACTTGGAAAAACCCTTACATGAGATGGTGCTAATGTCTTGTGCTGAAATGTACGCTTTCCGCCAATACGTGACAGCCGAAATTCAAGGCAGCACGAATTTCGGAATTTGCGTGGTCGGCGTTTTTTGGTATCCCATGAATTCGCGACACCCGGCAATAAAGGGTTGAACGAGCTGATTTATGCGTTTCTGGTACAATGTCAGCTGATGAACTGCTGTCACACTGGATTGCCGCCTGTTGGCCTTGACGTCACAAGCTACTGCAGACAGTGCATTCTGCCGTCGAGCTGATGTGCACAATGCAAGCTGTGTCAGCACTGTGCAAGGTGTCGCGGCTACATCAGAACGCATGCGTCAGCGCTGTTCCATCTGCAGAATAATCTTTGGTCCGTGGTTGTGACTCTGGTGGTCCTGAAATCAAGTTGCACGATTTGATGTGCTGGAGCGATTGCTTGTCTTAGACACACCACCAAACCCTAGACTCTGGAGCAGCTTGGCACAATTAATTTACGTCACTTTATCAGGACGGCACACTAAACCCATGTGCACTGTGGCACAGCAGCGGCATTGCAGAGTGTGCGAAGCAACACATTTGTTGAGCGATGTATACTTTTTCCATATATAATGCTAAACTTCACGAAACCTTTATAGTTGTGTACAAACCACTCACAAGCCAAACTGAAATGCAAGCTTCAAATAAGATTGAAGAGACATTTATACAGTGAAGTTACAAGGACAAAGGCAACTTACGATGTTTATAGAGAGAAGAGTGGCGACAACAGGTGCATGCAAAGCCAAGCGCACCACAAAGTTCACCAGTTTTTCAAAAGTGCAAAGGGCTGTACAGGAACCACAGTAAAGTTACACACCCCATTAAGCTGTCAATAATAATTGTTTGCATTCTAACTGTACCTACCATAGGCATCTATAATGCTTTCCCTTATCATCTCTTTGTTCCCTTTTTGTGCCAGCTAGCAGAGTGGCTGCTAATTTTCTAATTTGACCAGACCACCTTGTTCTCTACTGATCCACCCTAAGGTTCCATTCTCTTGAGATCTATCCTGTAATTCCAATAGTCATCACTCATTGGCTCTATTGGCATCAGTTATTGGCATTACCTTGGCAAACCCAACTCTAATTTTTCCTCGTAAAGTCAACTACAATATCATGTATGCATTCGCTTTTTAGTTTTAGTATTATTACGACTATAACTTTGAACTCAGTCACTTGATGTATGGTTTGTAAGCTTCTCATTTTGAACTTCAAGTTCCTGTCCTGCATGATGGTACAGGTAAAGTGCAATCATTTGTGTTTCTTAAAGTCAAATATCCCAATTATACTGGAAATTACATTAGCAAATCTTCCACAAACAATGTCAAGTGGATCTGCAATTCAATTTCTAGAGCATCTCCCTTCTTATGAATTGGCTTGAGACTGGTGACATTCATACAGTCATCATAACACCTGACCTCTTATGTTATTGCTATTAGCAAAAAGCGTGCCTCGGGTACCTACCAAGGAAGTGTCTTTGCTAAAACGGCGTGCGTCAAAGAGCAGCCACACAGGAATGAAAAAGATGAGCGCCAGCCTCGCAAAGGTGTGCAGCAGGCGCAGGTAGTGAGCATTTGTGTCTCGAATTACCTGTACCAAAAAGAAGAGACGACATCAAAACGGCACCAAGTTACCTCTACAAACCTCACGCGATTCAAGTGTGCTGCACGAAGCTTCAAAAGAGTTAAAGGGGCCCTGCAACACCTCTTGAAGATGAGCAAAACATTAAAGTGCAGCTTGTGGTATGAACTCAAGGAGCATGTGGCAGCGGAGCTAGTTGCAGTGATGTTCTGTACTACGCTGAAGAATTCCAATTCAAGGACATGAAAATTTCCTACTTCGGTGATCTTTCACTGAAAACGCTGACAAAATTCCTAGCACGTTTCCCTGCACAACAGTACTAATTTCCACCCCCCTATACGCACACACATATTATAAATAGACGTGTCCTACGTACTGGTGACTTTTGAAATCATGACAAGCCCCTCCACTTCCGCACTACAAAAGCATGACTTTATTAATTCATGTAATGTTAGTACACTGCACATTGTTCAAGTCTAACACCAATAGTGAACTATAAATCGCTCAGCATAAATGTCAGAAACAAATCTCAAAGGCTATGCTTGTGTGGTACATGCACCAGAACCAATTAGAGCAGATGAAGCCGTGCTGTGATCGTTAATTATCGGTCGTCATAGAAGAATTAAACATTCCTGAAACTCTCTGCAATATTACGAAGATTCTCTTTTCCCTTTGGCTCAAAATGACAGGTGAAAATTCCCCGAAAAAGGGGAAATTCCCTGCATGGAACATCACTGGCTAGTTGGTAAGCTATGGTAAGATATGTGCTGGTCCCATCTGCTGCTTTACTTATGTGTCCCGCATTTAGGCATATTTTTATGTGTCGTTGCATGGAATTTACAATGAAGTTTCAATGTCAAGTACAAATGACTCGCTATTTCCTCTACTAATGATGCTATATACTCACCCTGCCCCCCAGAATTAAAAAAAGAAACCGTGGCCCAAATCCAAAGGACATAGCTATTCACTGATTTCAGCATCATGAGCAACACTGTTACCAAAGCCATAGCAACGTGCCCGTTCCACGCTCTACAAGCGTGTTCGTGATCACACTGAAAGTGAGCAGCATGCACGAAGAAAACGAGGCACAAAAGCGCCTAACGTCATGAGGCACGCTAATGTATGGACATAGTATTTTGCTTCCTTGTCATTGCAATCCTCCCTCCCCACAATTTCCCACCTTGTGTAGCCTTCAGTGCATTCCCTGGGAACGAAAGGAGAGAAAAAGCTCTTATAGTGTACAACAAATCCCTGTAAATTTGCTTGCACTTGAGATATTGTACAATATTTTGTGGTAGTCAATTTGTGAAGCAATAAACTCTGATAGTGAAGTTATCTGATGATTACATGAAAGAAAGTTACAAGGCTCCTTTAAAGGGGCCATGTAACACTTTTTTCAACATGGTAAAAAAATGCGAACCAGCCATTAGAGTGCAAAACACAGCCTAGAATTCGCAATTATTTTATAAATTAGCTTAAAATTACTTCTCTCTATACATGATGCTCTGTGCTCCAATGAGCATTTCATATACCTCAAGTCCACGGCCACTGGCCGATTTAAGCATCGTGAGTTCCACAGTTATTGTGCCCACCGCAAGAGCTCGCCACTGGCCCGCGTGCGCTCACTATCTCTTTGTAGGTTAGCGGCAGGTTCAAAGAGCAAGCGAAAAAAACAAAATAATAAATACTGAAGAATATGATGCATGCATGCCTTCATGTCAACCCTCCTTCCTTAGTTTCCAGCGCACTCGCCGAGATGACAAAAATGGAGAAGCAATTATAGTGTGCGACAAACCTCCAACTCTGCTCATAATTCATGAATTCTAAATTTTTTTTGCGTTGGCCAATTTGCGAGGCAATTTACTTCACTGAAGCCATTTGATGGTTACTTTGAGAAGTTTGCAGGGCACCTTTAATGTAAACATTAACGAGAAAAGTACTCAGAGATGATATCAAGCAGCCAGTAGAAAAATGCAACATCATGTGTTGTTACCATGAACCTTCCTTTATGCACAGAAACAATGCCAAGTATACATTCCAGAGCAATAAAACTTCAATACTTCATATGACAAAAAGAAGTCAGTAAGCAAGAAGAAAGCAGCTGGTGCAGCATGCGCCAGAAACTTAGAACACATTGTTTTGTACCATGATGCTGCAAATTTACGATTTTGTTAAACCAAATATTGTTGACACGCCTACACATAACAACCCCAGGAAATGTTAATCTTTATACAAGACAATGTAAATATATGGTAACGAAGCACTGCAATGTCATGAAATTTCTAAGAAAGTGTGTGATTGGTACCATAATTACATTTTTATAAATTTTACACGCCAAAAGGACAGGGCAATTGAGGCATGCCATAGCGAGGCAACTTTGAATCAATTTCGACTAACTGAATCTCTTAGATGTACAACTACATTTACAAACATGGGAATTAAAAAAAATTATGCTCCATTGAAATGTAGAAATCAAATAGCAGCACACCGCAATCACTACACCGCAATCATACCGCAACCACACCGCAATCATAGCAGCACACCGCAATCACTAAGCTCCCATGGTTGATGATTGGAACAGCAAGCAAGAATACATATGATGGCATCTCTATCTGTGTAGTAATACAGTAAACAGCTCATCTGGATTTCACTATACTGAAAATACTGTCCAAATTAACCGGGTGCCAAATTATCAAAAGTGTCAAGAACACAATAAACAAATATCTAGTTTATTTCCCTTCTGTGAGGAGTACACATAAATGCAGTGCTTATTTTGTATTACATCAATGCAACAGCTGCAATTTCGTTATTTGCCACTTTTTTCACAATGTGGTTGCGGCACAGGACCCCTGTGTCTTAAGCTGCAATGTGCTATGGACCGATACCTTATATACCTACTAACATGACCGTGGATGGCGACCACGCCTTTCTGAAATCCCATGGCCATTACTGGCTGCCCACGAATGCCGTTTTTATTGCTTTGTGTTTTATACTTGTAGTGCTTCGTGCTTGGTGCGCTTTGAAGGCCATTCGAACAGACCAGGTTTGGTCAAATATGACTGAATGAATGAGTTTGGTGCCCATTAAACAGTCTCTGGTGCCGCTGGCCAGCACCAAAGAACTAGTCTTGCCTCTATATTCACAAATGCTTCTCGACTCGAATTTCTTCGTTCACTTGACAAAGTTGAGCCCTGTTCGACCGAAAATGACACTGCGCATCTCAAAAATTGCTGCACATCATCGCTGATATGCATCGACTTGCTCTGTATAGAGACAGTGCTGACGACTTTTTCACGTCGAGGTGAAGCATTGAGCGAAAGGACATTCTAGAATACAGGGGTTAATTATCTGATTTTCTAAATTAATGAGGGAAAAATAATGAGATTTTCCTGTATCAGGTAGCTACATAAATGTCTTCACAGGTCAGCATACAAAGCAATGGCACAAAGACAAACATAGTAACCTTCTTTGTGTATATGTTCTGAAGAGAGAAGCCAATGGTGGATATCAAGGCGCTGATCAGGCCAGTCATGTCGAAGGAAATCTCTGTCACAGTGGCAACCATGACTCCAATGATAATGGGCAGCAATGATGCATAGACCTGCAAGTATTGAAGCACCGATATTGGGAACTGAACACTAGGCATCCCAAAAATTTAATTTGGAGATGACATGACGAGAAATATAAATTTGCTGAAATTGCATATAACATGAACAGTGATCATCCACAGCCACCAACACTGAAACACCAGGAATGTTTCCTAAGAAATCGGCAGTGTTTTCAGAGCCATAGTGTACCGGCACCAGTGCTAAACATTGCGCAGACTTAGACGCACAGCACAGTGAAACCTGCATATAACTCCTGCTTTCACTGCATAAGATGTGTTTACTGCATCAGGTTATCATATTAGGGCTAATAATAAGAAATTGAGCAAGGTACAAAATGTATAGTTTAAAGCAAAAAATATATAACACTGCACTTATTGCTACTACACATTTGTTGGCGATGTCTGCATCACGCTGTTGGCTTAACCATAGGTACAGTCTCTAACGTATGCATCACAAGATGCTTGTAAGGGCCATAAATATTAAGGCTATTATATTGAGCCCACCGAACAGGTGATTTGTGTGATTGATAGTTTCTTAATCACACTCATTGTTAATGAAGTCCTCTATGTACAGTTGTTGCAGGTATCCAGTATCTTCTCTAACACTCTTACACTCGTGGTCAATCTAGACAGTCTTCACTTGTGAGCACACATTTGGCAAAGCCTGCATCGACCAGCCCTTGTCTACAATACCAAGTAAACACCCCACGGCTGGCCTTCCTAGACTTTGTGCAGAAGAGAACGACAGCTTTCTGAAAGTGGCATATTCTTGCAGGCTTTCGTAACAGACAAATGTCCTTAGCTTAAGCATTTACTGCGGGATCCCGGATGGGACCAAATGAATAGAACAGACGATATCTATTGCCTCTAACTGTAGTGTAAATTTCAGTGAACTGCAGTAGACAAAAATTTGTCTTTTCCATCAGAGGAAACAGGATCATGGACGAGAACATTTAATTTTCTGGCACTTGCAAACAATTAAAACATGTTGTCATCAACATATTATAGTCTGGCACTAACTACTCTTTAAATTAGTGGTTACTATCTTGGCCTTCTGTGGCACTTCATTAGAATGACCGAGATCAGTGGCCCTTCTATGTGCATCGCAGTGGCGTGACTTGGCTACAGTAACAATACACTGATGAGGCAGAAAGGAAAAAAAAAAACCCCTTGATCTGAGGCACAGTGCCCGTTGCCTGCATCATGTCACGTAAAACTTTTCTTTCACTGAATCGGTCATAGATCCGCTGCAATAAGACCAAAGAAGCTTGCGAAAGCTGCACTGCTGGCATCTGCGTCAAATTTGTACTACAAATCATAACGCCATGCGTCAGTTGTTGGCCATTGCCCGCAAAACCAACGTAGCCATGTCTGTGATCAAGCTCTGCTGAACAAGTCCTTTAATGATGAAATAACACGTGCATTTTATCACTACATTATGCGTCGCCTGTAAAAGAGTGCCAAGGTTTTTTTACCAGAGCTTTGAGTCTTTAAGTTTTAGACGAGAATGAACGGAAAGCGGTAAAAGGTTTCGGACTGCAAAGCGTTGAATAATACTTTACTAGACAACATATGCACTTGATGGCTAATGGATAAAACGCATATCCCGGCAAATCAGCTTAGAGGTATGTTTCAACATGCGCAGACGTGGCCTAATCACAAGACAATTTCTAGCAGTTGAACTAACACACAAATATTCGGACTTTGCGTCGCTTTCAGAGAGCTGCAAAGGCAGACTTTGTTTCAGTTCCAGCATCATGAGCATCTTTTCCATGGGTTTTTCATAATGTACCTACTCCTATTACACGCATAGTGTTATGTGTGAAGACCGCATTATGCCTAAACTAGCTGAAACATTATTACTGGTATCAAAGTTATGTTGTAGCTGTCTTTTTTTTTAATATATGCAAGAAGAACAATAACAACCAATTGGCTGTTGCGCTGAAACAAATGCTCCGAGTGCATCTCGCCTGCCAAGCCCACCTAAAAGTTTACACATAGAGCAAGAACAGATTGGGATGCGTGAGATTTCACAGAAATCTTGCACAGCAGCTGCAATCGCATCTGTCTGGCTGGACATATGATCACAACCGAGTGCAACCTTTATCAAGCAATAACTTTTTTTCTCATACGCTACTGCATACAGATAGATGTACCAGATGGCTGCGAAGTGCATTAAATATTTTTTTTGTTTTGAAGGGCGCCTTGAATGACAAGTGCAGCTGCTGTGTCTTGGAGGCATGATTGATGGTGGCCTACTTGTGCGAAGAGAGATGAAACATATGTACCATCACATCTTTTATGGGTGAGGACTCAATAGCATTTCCTCACGATACAAAAGCTTCAAATATTCTCTGCCACTGCATGAGACAGATCAATAAAAACAAATATGTAAAGATAATAGCAAAACCTGCCTGTACACATAGGAAATAAACCAATTTCCTGAGCACAACTACTTATATTTCTTTCTCTGAAGAACTGACAGAAACATACAAGATAAAAAGAAGTGTAAGGAAGGAGTACAGTTTCCTTGCTAATTTTAGCCATTGCTTAACGTGCTGAATTATGCTTTAAGAATGAGCGAAGATTTTCAAAAGACAACAATGCCAGTATCAAGTTTTTAGATGGTCTTCCTAGGCATATGAATGTGATGAGTAGAATCAGGCAAGATTTCTTTAAACATGAAATAAAATGCAAGCTGGTCAACTAATACTACTAGCTTTTGAATAATAAAATGATGAGGCAGCATGACTAACTAATCATGGCATCAGTTTTTCAGTTTATTGTGTGGTGAAAAAATTGTTTAGCATGACTGAATGACAATTTTTTCTTTATCAGCTCTACTTATAACACAATATTGTACGAAATATCATTGTTTTTCACACTACCACACGTGCAATGACTGGACGTCTTTTCTTCCCAGGGAGCTCCAGCCTAGCTCACTCCCTTAGCCCAGAGCCTCTGGGTTTCAGGCAACTTTGTCCCATCCTTGCAAAGTTAATCAGCATCATCATCAGCCTGACTGCGTCCACGGCAGGACAAAGGCCTCACCCATGTTCCGCCAGTTAACTCGGTCCTGTGCTTTCTGCTGCCAATTGATACCCGCAAACTTCTTAATCTCATCTGCCCACCTAACTTTCTGTCTCCCTCTAACTTGCTTGCCTTATCTGAGAATCCAGTTAGTTACCCTTATTGACCAGCGGTTATCCTGTCTATGCGCTACATGCCCGGCCCATGTCCATTTCCTCTTCTTGATTTCAACTATGATATCCTTAATCCCCTGTTTGTTTTCTAATCCACTCTGCTCTCTTCTTGTCTCTTAAGGTTACACCTACCATTTTTCTTTCCATTGCTCGCTGCGTCGTTTTCAATTTAAGCTGAACCCTCTTTGTAAGCCTCCAGGTTTCTGCTCCGTAGCTAAGTACCAGCAATACACAGCTGTTATATACCTTCCTCTTGAGGGATAGTGGCAATCTACCTGTCATAATTTGAGAGTGCTTGCCAATTGTGCTCCACCCCATTCTTATTCTTCTAGTTACTTCAATCTCATGGGTCGGCTCGGCGTTTATTACCTGCCCTAAGTAGACAGTCTTTTACAACTTGAACACGCTCTGAAAAACGGAGGAAGCGTCAAAGCAGTGAAGAGAAAACTTGGGATAGGCAAAAATCGGATATATGCACTAAGGGACAAAGAAGGCAAAATAACTACCAATATGGATAGGGTAGTTAAAATAGCAGAGGAGTTTTACAGAGATCTGTACAATAGCCGGGACAACCACAACCTTAATACTATAAGAACTAGCAGTAACTCAGATGACACCCCACCAGTAATGATAGAAGAAGTCAGAGAAGCCTTGGAGAGCATGCAAAGAGGAAAAGCTGCTGGTGAAGATCAGGTAACATCAGATCTGCTGAAAGATGGAGGACAGATTGTGTTAGAAAAACTGATTGATATGTGGGGTTTAACGTCCCAAAACCACTATGTGTTAGAAAAACTAGCCACCCTGTTTACGAGGTGTCTCCTGACAGGAAGAATACCAGAGTCTTGGAAGAATGCTAAAATCATGTTAATACATAAGAAAGGAGATGACAAGGACTTGGAAGAATTACAAGCCGATCAGCTTGCTCTCTGTAGTATACAAGCTATTTACAAAGGTGATTGCTAACAGAGTTAAGAAAACATTAGAATTAAATCAACCAACGGAACAAGCAGGATTTCGAACAGGCTATATAGCATACGAAGTTTGAGAAAATTTAAATGATCCAATGTTATGAAAACACGAAAGATAAATAGTGGAATTTCTTACGTCACGTGCGGAGTTTACGGCACGACATTTAAAAATTAAACTTTAACTTTGATTTTTCCCTCTTATCAAACTTATGGCAGTGAAACTCGTGACATTAGAGTTCCCGAAGTGCAGTTTATCAATCTCAAACAACTCAATGTTTCTCTTCAGTGTCCCTTTAAAGGGCGCCTAAATGTCGGCACTAAGCATTGAACCTATCAGAACTTTGCTCATTTCAGCCACATTCTGCTATATCCCCTTGAACCATTGAAAACATGCATAATGAAGCGAAGTAAGATGATCATACTTTATAGTCATGAGAGACAAGACAGAATGGGCATACGAATGCACGGCAAAGTAGGGTCAAAGACAACTCACAACTGATATTTCTCGTATGTGAACCAATGGATATCTTATTTCCTCGTGAAGTCATGCTAAAGGGCCAGTAAACAACCCCGAGGTCCAAAAATCGTTATAAAGAGAAATATGTGCATGTTTACTTTGTAAACGTGCCGACGCAAGAATTTGCGAATACGTGCTATATTAAGGAAGTTACGGAGGTTAGAACATCGGTTTCAGCTGGTTTCAAATTTTTTCGCGGCTTCGCCACCCTTCTCGCTCACATAGAGGGGAAGGCCTAGCCCGTCGTCGTGATTCCGCCCACGAAGCAACGCTTCTTCACCATGTTGGTTGCTCATGTTGAGGGCGAAGTTTGTGCACGCAGGTGCTATTGAGTGAGGAATGCGCGAGCGACAAGTGCGAGGCTAAAGTTGTATTACCGCCATGCCAAGAAAAAGGGCAGTTTCGTAGCTCTGGGTGGGAGCAGGAACTGATGTTGACTTCACTACTGTTTGTTGAGACCTGGATTAGACCAATCGACGAGCTGCATGCTGCGTCGTCGCGGATAGCTGACTTTGCATCGTTGAGCAAAAGAGGAGGACAGGTCAAGCGTAGGAAAGGAGTGCTGGAATTGTTTTCCGAAATGAAGGCTCTGCGTGGTGCGTAGCGCTGTAATATTCAGAGAATGTGGTCGCTGCGGTCAACTCTATGAATTGCCGCGCTTGTTTGGGGGTGTAAAAAAAAATGTCGGAGCCTGTTCACTGGACCTTTAAGAGATGTCTGGTGTCACAAAGCATGCTGAAAGAGTGGGAAACGAAAGGAAAGAGCCATGCACTCATTCTTTGTATTTTCGAAGGGTATTTAGGGGCCTTTTAACCAGTATAATGTAAGTGGTGAAGATACGAAGTGTGTTCATATGCACTTTCCGATTCGCTAATAGTATTGAAATAGGCGAATGAGTTCAATCAAAACACAGCAGCACAGGTGGCATAAGCTTTAACATCCAGAAGTATATAAGTAGCATCACGCAAACATCAAACTTCGAGGCATTAAGAAATCAAAACGCGATTTTGTGTGCTCTGACAGCGCACAGTTGAAACACAGACATCAATTACTCGCACATGTGACAGTTAGGCGCAACCATTTAATTTATCGTCGATCTTTCACACACCTCTACATCATTTCTTGGCGATAAACTATGTTAAACTCTCATGCATAAATGCCCTGAACGGAACGTCTTGTTTCACTTATGCTATGTGTAAACATGACGATTGAAATTATCCCGCACACTTTTGAGCAGAAATGAAATGGGAACAGATTTCTTTCAGCAGAGAAAGTGTTGAACACTCCGTGCATATTTTAAGAGAGCTTGAATTTAAATGGGTAGGGCATTAAAGTTATTGTCGTTATCTTTCATTTATGACATTTATAATCATACCCTGGTTATCATTTATGATTGTGGCCTTATCTTATTTTACCGTGGTTTTATAATGTGGTCCTTATTTTTATGGTCACATTTTTATGATTGCAGAAGAAGAGCAATACAGCGGAAGGGACTTATCTAGTGAATGACAAAAATTAAAAAAAAAAAAATGTGTGCAATAAGTCCTTACCGTCCAAGTCTGCTTTTCTTTCAGAATGATCCTAGATAATACCACTGTGAATAGAGGCATGGTGGCTTTTACTGAAAAAGCAAAACGCAGAAAAAAGGCAAGATTGTCACTTCTGGTTTCATAGTCTCTTTTCAGTCTAACTACTGCATGCACAAATAAATAATAATAATAAGAATAAGAAAGTAATAAGCAAGTTTACAATAATAAGTTTACATTAATAAGGAATAAACTTCCTTGTAATAAGAAAGTTTACATTAGTTTAGATTTGATTAAAATCTAAAATCGCTAAGAACCTAGCTCTCTAGCAGACACTTTCATTTATTACTTTTCACATCTAATTAGAAATGCAAACCTAATTATTGATAAGATTACTCCAGGAATAGAACGTGGTAGGAAAGTTACTGCTTGGTACTTTTTTTGTTTTTTTGTATGCAAAAAAAAGTTATGTTCATGATTCATTATCGAAAATGTGATTGTCTCGTCATCATAGCAACCACTGACACAATTAAAGTGCGCTTAAAATCCAGCAGATAAAGAAGCATTCAAATGCTAAAAAAGATTGCTAAATACACACATTGTTCCTAAAAGGAGAAATACAGCAATGTGTAGCTCGACTGCCCCAACCTTTCATTGAAAAGAACAATCGCGACATGCACATGCTGACAGGACACCAGTTTCCTGTTTGCCTTTAACTTTTGCAAATAGTTCCTCTAAGTTCCATGAATCTCAGTTTGACATGAACTATATGCGTTGTCCAACATGAATAAATTCCTCCACCTGCCGAAACATCAAGCTGTAATGATCAGTGGCACATCATTAACAAAAACCTGCAACAACTTCCAGATGTCTGTCTTTCGATAACGTTAGGATATTCATTAATTATTCACTGAATACAAAACTGAAGCCGACATCAGCAAGTCAGATGGAATGGCTAAACTAACTTCTTGAAAACAAGTATAGGGAACAAAAAGCAAGCTTTGACAACTGCATAATTATTGTCGCTATCGCGTTTTCTGTACTTAGCTCAACTGGGTGCATGTTAAACAACAAAATGAAGCCTGTTAAACAAAAATGTAAACAAACAAAAGAAAGGTTGGCACACAGCTGCGCCCGTGAGCATAACGTACAGCCATCACGTAGTTCATCGCAGCTGGGTTGAACAATACATGCCACTTGGAAGGATGACACGCTTAGCTGTTCTCAGCAGTTCGTGCGGCCACGCGTACGACGCAAGCATATGCCACCACACTCCTACACATTGCTTTTGCATTCACCTAAAGTTTCCTTGAGTAATAGATGCACGAATGTTCAGATTGTTCGCATACTACAACATATGGGCTGCAGCAAAAAATACGATCCTTTAGCTCCACAAGCACCTCCAGCAAAATACGGTCATTTCATTTGGCCGTGGCTGAGGGCCACCAGACAATTCCAAACAGTTTCGATGCACATTGCTAAGGCCAGAGATATGGCTATGACCCCAATTCAGCTGCTGCTGATACCAGCGTGACTTTTCACATAGCCGTCATCCCAAAAATTTATTAGAGAGAACAAAACAAGACGTTCGACATTTTTAACAGAGTTGGTCAACTAGTACAAGTGTTGAACCTTTAAACATGGTCAAGCATACAGTGCAGTAGCAAGTCTATTCAATTCAGCCAAGTGCTCTTGCACATAGTAACAGTACGCCGCACCTAAGTCCTCAGTTGCCCAATGTATAAGGATACCCCTTGCTAATTCCTCCAAAACTACTCAAGATGCAAGGTAAAGGTCCCACATGGTACTGCCGCGACACGACGCATCTTTCAACGTTGGAATGGACAAGTAACAAGTAACGCTTTGAGCACCTGACAATTTTAGTTTGTAGTGCCATGCAACTTTTCTAAATTACCTGTACTCTTTTTGAACGCGATGAACACGTGGGGGCAGGTGCTCAGAAGGTATGAAGTTGAAGTATTACAATTAATTAACGTATGTCATTAACCTTTCACATCAAAGACGACTCCGCAACTGAAAGCAATCATTTGCAATGTGCAAATCTTTGTGCACACCTTCTCTCTTCGGTCTTTTCTTTGTAATTTTTGGAATACAGTTCTTTTAACATTGACATTCACGAAACATTTGGTTTTCAAACTGCTGGCAACTGATGTAAAGTTACTAATTGCACCCTTTGGCCTCTTACTAACGTTCTTTTCACACACTTGTGTGACGGCGCGCAGTACGGCGCACAAACCTGTTCAGCCATCAGCGTGGGATGTCGTTATTTACACGAACAACACCGTGCACTTCGATCTCGATCGATCTCGATCGAATCTCTCGGCCGTCGTTACCAGCTTCAAGCTTACGCAGCTTGCGCGAAGGAGCCGATCGCGATTGAAATTGAGCGTGGCATATGTGACCGGCCGTTAAGTTAGAAATCTGAACTGGTCGACCTTCTATTCATCGACCCCCGAAAATGAGAACACCGGCGAGAGATTCACCTGTGTGCGCGTAGGAGACCGGCACTTTCCACAGGCTGACGTGAGACGTCAGGGAGCTGAAGAACTTGCCGCACGCTAAAGGCACGATGCAGCGCATGTACGTGCCCCACTCAAGGTCCAGGTAGGGCCTGATGCCCCACAGCGCGAACACGGGTCCCGAATACACGGTGATGGAGAACAGCTGGACCATTGTGACGGTGAGCGGGTAGGGAAAGCTGTTGAGCACCACCTTCCCGACGACATTATTGCCCGAGCTGATGCCGTACCAGAGTACGCACAGGAGCACCACTTTGACGATCTCGCCGGTGTGGCTCGAGGAGTCCATCGTGGCATGGGTCGAGAACGAAACCAAGTGGCCACGATGTCAAACGCGAGTCCCACCGTGCCGTCGACCGCTTCTGCCGCCGCTGTCGGCAGCTGCCGCGTTACACATAACGAGGACCGCGGGCCTGTAGGCGTAACAAGCCGCAGGTGGTGAATGCGGATTTCCAACCTCGGCGGCGGCGGAGGCCGCGATGTTCCACAAAAACACGGCGGCGGCACTGAAGCGGCGACGGCACTGGCCACGTCGGCGAGCGAGCTTGCGGCCTTGCGGCTCCCGGCTGTCAGCTCGCAACACAACGAAAATTAAAAGGACTATTTCCGGCAGCTGCGCTGTTCCGGTGTTTTTGGTCTGGTTCCGGTCTAGCAAATTAGGCGGCAACTTCAAAACCACTTCTTTGTCGAAGAAGCGTGGAATTTAGTCGAAATGGCTCGAATCAACGCTGCTGTGCCCTTGGGTGGGCCGCGAACGCGATTTTATGACGCATGCGCAGTCGCAGCGACCGCAACGCTGCAATTTCCGCGGGAAAAGAATTCGATAGATTGAACTACCAGTTTGTGAAATTTACAAATTTTAACCGGCGCATTTTAGTTTCATTATTGTTTTTTTTTTTCTGGTGGGGACATTACGTGAAAAAATCTATGCAAAGATCCGTCTTCTGTAACAGTTTTCTTGCTTTTCCGCCCGTTCACTCAAGGAGCCAATGCTTTCTTTATTCTTTTCTTTTCAGAGGCGAGAAGAATCCACCACCATTATGTTCGCACTTGTTTTTATATGTGTGCATGGATATATGTATACACATGCAAACTTTACAAATATCTGGATAGGAAAGGGTTAAATAACTAACACAGCTCAATAGTAAATTTATCTTCAGGTGATGTCAAATGCCTAAAAATATAAAGTGTACCGGCGTCACTTGAAGGACTCTTGTGTACATTGATACTTACCTTAAAATCTTAAAATCCCATTTCATGCATGACTTCATCAATATGTGGGGTTTAACATCACAAAACCACCATATGATTATGAGAGACGCCGTAGTGGTGGGCTCTGAAAATTTCTACCACCTGCGCTTCTTTAATCTGCACCCAAATCTGAGCACATGGGCCTACAGCATTTTCGCCTCCATTGAAAATACAGCCGCCGCAGCCGGGATTCGATCCCGCGACCTGCGGGCCAGCAGCCGAGTACGTTATCCACTAGATCACAGTGGCGGGGCGCCCTTTGGTACATGCCAGTCGCTGCTAGCTGGTGAAAATTTTGCATCCCGCTACACATGTCCGCTATTTCTCGCAAGGTTTTACTCCAGCTTCATAACTATTTACCAGTTTTATATATATAACCATGTATGGATACACGGCATGCAGCGCAAAGCTAAATTGTATTCGAAGTCACAACCTCTTACAGCTAAGCTTGTGTACGTCTTAAATCCCCCCCCCCCCTCCCCACTTTTTTTTTGTCGCAGGTGCGAGCCTCCGATATCACCTGACGGAATGGCAAAGGTGAATTGGGGAAGCCGACACACCCGAGGAGGTATAAAGACAATTTTTTTTTAAACCTCTGACACATACGCACCACAGTGCAGTTTCTGCGTCGCTAAAACAGCCGCCCTGTGCGGTGTTCCACATGGTATGGGAATGCCCACACAATCCACCTCTACAACCAAGAGCACAGCACAACACTGCAGGGTGGGAGGCAGCTCTGTCCAGCTCGGATCCGAAGACCCTAGAGGCCCTCGTGAGACGAGCGAGGACAGCGGCCAGTGCCAATGGGATCCCGGACTAAGGAGCCCACTCACCGACACTCCTTCCTCGGTCGCAAATAAATGTTTTATTCTCTCTCTCTTCTTGGACACACCTGTGGTCATGGGTTGAACCCTAAATGCGCCACGGGCATGCTGACATTCAGTCAGGTTACACCATGGACAGTACCAGTGCCTCCTCTACAACTGACTGAACCAGGAGACACTGGCAGGACACAGGCAGTGCGGCGACGCCTTGTCTTGTCTTGTCTCCTAGGAGATCTTGGCTCAACGCCACATGGGGGATTGGCCACACTGTACCTCATAATAGATCATTTTTTACAATGCTTGCTAAAAAAAAATAAAGAGAAATTAGATAGGAACAATAATACGCAGGTGGGGCAACGGGCATGCGCGCCGGTGCTCTCAAAACGCAGCCGTTCTCGTCGGCAGCTCAGCTGCTTCTCGCTGCGGCAGTTGTGATTATACAAATCTGAGGATCGTCACTGTGATCTATCTAAAATGGTTCCTGCATTGCAAAAAAAAAAAAATACAGAAACGGTACTGACGAGCCTCGTCGTTGCAATTCACTGTTCGATAATTGATATTTTTAATAATAAATTCGTTCATTTCCGTGAGATGGCGCCCCAGCGCTCGCTGCGGTGGTGTGCGCAGTAACCGAGCATATGAGCCACAAAATAAAGGGCTCATGAAGCAAATCTTGTGACCATACAGAAGTCAATTCATTGGTCGAATTAAAAGGTCGCATTAGATGGAATGTTTCGCACTAGAAGACTTCTCTAAATTTCTTAACTCTCGATATGCTCCAGAAAATTTTGAAATCTGTGATGTTCTGACACCATGGCCACTGTGGCCGTTCTTTGACGGGGGGCCAACACTCGAAGCCGCAGTTTCACGTCGCGTCTCGGCCTCTCGGCTGGGGCAGTATATTGTAAAAGTAAACTTGTAAAAGTTATTTACGAAATGACCATGCACGGACGGCTTTCTGCTCTCCCGTAGTGGAGTACATCGTACTCTAAATCGTTAACAACTTGTTCTAAACGCAAAAGTTATTAGCTTTCTGTACTACACGGGACGGCATTCTGCTCTCCCATAGTGGAGTACATCGTACTCTAAATCGTGAAAAACTTTATCTAAACACACACCAACCTTATATCGGTCATCCGACAACGGCACCATTATTCTCGAGAGTTTTAGCCAGCGTTTGGTAGTCCTTGGTTTTAGCAAGGGACGGTGCACTGCCCTACCTTGTACTCGATTGATTGATATGTGGGGTTTAACCACCCACAACCACCATATGATTATGAGAGACGCCGTAGTGGAGGGTTTCGGAAATTTCGACCATTTGGGGTTCTTTAACGTGCACCCAAATCTGAGCACACGGGCCTACAACATTTCCGCCTCCATCGGAAATGCAGCCGGGATTAGAACCCACGACCTGCGGGTCAGCAGCCGAGTACCTTAGCCACTAGACCACCGCGGCGGGTTACTTTGTACTCGAAATTGTTACACTTTTTAAATATATACTCATTTAATCGCAATCCTTGTAACCAGTAGTGAAGTGGTTGTCTCTTTTCCGTATTCCCTTTTCCACATTCTTTTCCCTATTCGTATTTTCTTGGTTCTTGAGTGGGCACTACGGCTCTGAGTTCTCAATGGCTTCATGAAGTGACAGGTCTACGGGACGGCTTTCAGCTCTCCCATGGTAGATTACCTGGTATACTCTAAATCGTTACACATCTTTTTGAACATCTGTTTAATTATGGCTACTTTTGTACTTCCGTTTTGGCTAATATTTGCAAAAATTCGAATGGTTGCATCAATAGCGAAAAAAATTACAGCATATCCACGGAATGAATGATGATGAGCGGAGCGAAGCATCGGAAGGTTTTATTGGTAAACTGTGAATCGTCTGTCTGTCTCCCTGGAGCGCGCGGATGTACGCTTCGCCCCACTCATCATTCACACAGTAAATATGCTGTGAAAACCACTAACGTCATCTAGTTATATTATTCTCAACGACATATACATACAGCACCATCTACACAGCAATCCGCACTATTATATTTATTAATCACACTATGGTGCCTTTATGGTGTAATGGTTCCTGGGAATCGCAATTTGATCACACGGGGGAGTTCACGTTAACTCACTGGCCAATGCCAACGGATTTTAACTTTACTCCCCCTCACGACCCGCTCTCGACGGGAGACTGAGAGAGAAGGCGGGCGTGCGAGAGAGAGGGGTGCGCGCGCAGCTGCAGCGAGCAAGGAGAGCGGAGGAGCGAGCGAAGGGGGAGGGGGTATAAGGCGCGTTACTGACACCGATATCAGCGTCGCGTCCGTGGCTTATTCGGTAGAGCGTCGCGCTGCGGCCCGCCAAGTCCTCTTTCTTTTAAAGATAGAGAGAAGACTACAGACGACGCCGACGGCGGTGGATGGTTTGGGGTCGCTTATAAAGTGTATTCACACTTAAAAAAATGAGTGCTATCCTGACGGCAGTGCAATGTAATGCACCGCCGCCATCTAATTCAACCTATAGGAGGATTCCACAACTTCAATTTATCGATGGCATCGTGTGATGTTATGCTAGCTTCGTTCCTCACGTGAAACAAGCACACTTCGAACGCCGCTGTGCATGGCGGGATATGTTCCGGGCCGGCAATGTGTACGTATATGAGCCTTGACACGGCCGACCACGGCGTTTCAAAATTATGTTAAACTGAAGAAAATTAATCATGCCGTCCAAATCTAGGCAAGGAAAGACTGCGCATGGTAAGCCACACCCACTACTTCCTTTCTATTTTCATGTTACCGTCCCATTCATTTCTGTCCCACTGCGGTGGTCTAGTGGCTAAGGTACTCGGCTGCAGACGCGCAGGTCGCGGGATCGAATCCCGGCAGCGGCGGCTGCATTTTCGATGGAGGCATGCTGTAGGCCAGTGTGCTCAAATTCGGGTGCACGTTAAAGAGCCCCAGAGGGCAGAAATTTGTGGAGTCCTTCGCTACGGCGTCTCTCATAATCATGTGGTAGTTTAAGGATGGTAAGTTAAATCCCACATATCAATCAATCGGTCACATTGCAGTGCAACTGCTTCCTTGCGCAAAGCGCGCGCGAATGACTAGGAACTTTCTAGATACTGTTTATTTGAGCCTTCTGATCAGATTCAGTGCTCAACACGAACGTGATAGTTCTGCCGCTAGCGATAACGCAGGAATCTTGTATGATACTTGTATAAAAGCCGACGCGCTTCATCGCTTATCAGTTTTAACGACGGCCCACGCCCTGCTCGCCGATATCAGTGTACACATTGTGTGCTGTAGTTTGAGTTAGTTTCACTGCAATAGCAATTATGGACACTCTCGACTGAATTTCACTGCCGGCGTCGTGAGGGCGTCAGCGTCATGCACCGTATATGTATACGTATCTATATATATGAAAACGCAAGTAAGAAAACAATCCCAGAAAGACTCCGGCGTGCGGAATCGAACGTGAGACCTCCGCGTCGTGAAGGCGA